ATTACTTATCTGACGTGTTTTATTATGATTTTAGTTTTCAAAAACAGAATATGAAGCGCTTTGATATGCTGCTAATTACTCTAGCGGTGGCGAATTCATTTCCCTTGAAAAATGAGGAAAACGCCGCGCTGAAAACGAAGGTAATGTTCTACCACAAGAGCTTTGGGTGTTTCAGATGAGCTATCATGTTCATAGCGTTAATATAACGACATTTATTTTCACATCTGAAGTAATTTTTAATTAAGTGTCAGAAATAATGCAGAAGTGTCTTATTTTGTTTTAACGGATATAAAAAAAAAACTGTTGATTTATTTTTGGCCTTTAATTTCATGATGTAAACTGAATCAATCAAGAAGCAATTGCGGTTAAATTGGTAACTTGGTTGTTGAAAGTAATCCGGTATTGCGTCGACTCTGACGAAGGGCTATCACTCGAAACTTCAGCTTTACAAACTTTTTATGGAGATCGATTTGCATAAAACCTATTAATCATGTGATATCCCTCACCGACTATCATATCTCCGCATTAGATAGTTAATCTGTTTATACCTCGAGTTTTCATTGGCATCTTCTGATATTTCCTTCTTTCTTCCTCTGTTTGGTCTTGGTTTTACCAGACTCAATCGAAAAACGCGCTCTCTATCATGCTTGATGTCGGCTATTGGCTATTGTGTTGTTGGCTATAGTGTTTCTTACTTTGTTGCTTTTAGATGATATCTCGAAATCGTTATTTCTCATTACTACTATTATTGACAAGACCATTTTTATTTAAAGGTCTTGGGTCCCCGTGTACTAGATGCTGGTAAGCGCAGGATCCTACCAAATAGACGAAAGATTGCTAAGTGCATTTCAACTTTTTTACTGCTTTTTGCAAAGTGTCACGGAGCAGATTTTTTAAAGTCAAAGTTGAACAATACTCCCCCACACACACACCCACACTCATATGTCGATTAAGTGCAGTTTTCAATTCTTCTGGATTTGTAGAAGAAAAATTCGATCTATGAATGTGGCTGAGATAAACCTCCTTTCTAAAAGCACTGCACTGGTGTGAGTTTGATGCATAGATATGAGTGTTCCAAAAATTGTACGTAACTCGCGCGGGCCAGAAGAGAAAACTCAGAAAAAAATCATTAATTCTTTGTTGTTAGAAAACAGTTCAAGTTTTTTGATCTTCAAAAAATAAATAAAGCAATGACAATTTCAAACGTTATCACTTACCTTTGCAGAAATACCTCTTAACCACTCCGCTCCACAAAGTGCTTGGGGCAGCAATGTTGGTCGGTCATCAATGGATACTAGTGTCAGCGGAGCACAAAAAAATAGTTGACTGGGGCATTAATGGTAAACGACTCTGGCGCATCGGTGGTGGTTATAGTCGAGGCAATTGAAGCATCAGTGGTAGTTATGAACGTAACAATGGCAAATCGAGTGTGGACATCAGTGGTGGATTGGGGAACAATGACCCACCGAATTGGCGCGTCGTGTCCATTATCAAAAGAAATTTGGTAAACATAATTGTTATAGTTGTTGTTGTAGACTACAAACAGTCCTTCCTTTCGGAGAAGTCTGTTGAGCGTTTCCAAAAACTTCAGTGAGACAAAAAAATTAAGTTTGCGCGCCACGGAGAGTTTGGGAGTGTGGTGCCTCACTCTTAAAACTCCCCACACACCACCCCCGTTGTTTATCTATCCATCCATCCATCCATCCTTCCATTCATCTACTAATCCATCCGTCCATTCACACACCATTAGTCTGGTAATGACTGGCAATTTATAAAAAACAAAAATCAGAGGTTAAGATAAATGAGATAAATAAGACCCCTTCCTTCCGATTTTTTATTTTATTTTTTATTTTTATTTCAGACCCACAGGTGAGCTACTTAGGAGGAAGTCATGAATGAAACCTGCGCTAACTTAAATTTTCTTTTCTTGATAAATTTCCAGTTCCATATCGATCTCTAATTTTGATAAATTTTCTCACATTTCAGGCCCACCTTAAAACATTCGGACGAAATAAAGGTCAACGCTCCAATGATATGGGGAAATATAAAGAAGAAAGTATCTCAATTTTTTCAGCTTTAGTAAGAAACACAGCACTTAGACTCAATTTTGTAACAGTACTTAATAATTCTAATGATTAAGAAATGGCACTAAGAAGCAAAGAAAGGATTAAAAAGGAGCAAAGTTCGGTGTTTGGATATTCATTCATTTAACCCTTCACACCTTAACATTGATATTCATATTCCCCTGACTTCTCTCTTTCCATTTCATATGGTACCGACAAGGAGAATTTTATTGACAATCAGGAGCTTCTGAAATTGGTGATCATTTCCTTTATTCTCATGACCTTAATGTTTGATTCGAGGGTGAAATCGTGAGGAGAAATCAGAAATCAGGTTTAGGAGGGTCTTTACGTATCCCCGAATTTAAAAGAACGGATGAACCAGTTAAATAGAGGCTGGGGTTTCAAAAATCATATCTGAGTGTACATTTTCCCGTTAAGATCTCCGAGATCGAGTTACTTGCAGACGCTTATGAGGCTCTGCGTACTTTAAGTGTCAGAAATAATACAGGAGCGTCTTATTTTATTTGAAAAAGTTTAAAAAAAAAACCCACTTTCGCTTCATTTTTGGCCTTTTATTTCATGATGTAAACTCAATCAATCAAAAAGCAATTGCGGTTAAAATAGCAAATTGGTTGACGAAAGCAATCGGGTATAGCGTAGACTCTAACAAAGGGCAAACACTCGAAACCTCAGCTTTAGCAACTCTTTACGGAGACCGATTTCCATAAAAACAAATAATCTTGTGATATCCCTCACCGACGCAGCACTAAGGGCTCTATAGAAACTCACCGTCTTTATTCAGGGATTGCATTAGCTTTGCTTCACTTCTCCTTGTGTGTGGTCTAAGACATTCACGACAATCTATCAACCAATCAAATGCAAAACTAAAACCAAACACGACTTCATTATATTATTTCCTGTTCATTCCCGCATTAGACAGTTAATCTCTTTATACCTCGAATTTTCATTGGCATCTTATGATATTTCCTTCTTTCTGATGGACCCTTGTAATTACTTTGGTCTTGGTTTTACCAGACTCAATCGAAAAACGCACTCTCTATCATGCTTGTTGTCGGCTATTTGCTATTGTGTTGCGTTATCATATTTTGATTTCCTTTTTTGCTGTTTTTGTTGTTGTTGTTCCAAGATACTCAATCAAAAAGGCTACACTATAAGTCTTAATGGTGTTGATAACTTTTAGATGATATCTCTAAATCGTTATTTCTCATTGCTACTATTATTACAGTAAATGGTTTGAACATGTGATAGTGTAGCATGGTAACATGTGATAGTGTAGTTTGATAGTCCGGGTGAGTGTAGTCCCGTAGTTTCTGTTGTTGTAACAGAAATTGTGATGAAGAACATCGTGGAAAGCGCCCTTTCGACTTGCCGACAGACGATACCACTTTGGTTACGCTACATTGACGATACTTTCACCGCCGTACGACACGACGAAATCGACGCATTCCACCACCACCTTAACGAACAAAGCACTGACATACAGTTTACTAGAGAGGTCGAAGAAAATGGTAAACTACCTCTTCTAGACTGCTTGGTAAGCCGTGACGACAACTCACTACGGACAACAGTTTACAGGAAACCGACACATACCGACAGATTACTGGGCGAGTCATCCTACACCCCGACATCACACAAAGCCACTACTATCAGGACTCTTACCCGACGAGCGCAACTAGTATACAATACGACAGACAGCTTATCCGACGAGGACAAGTACCTTAACGGTGTTTTTTTCAAAGAACAACTACAACGAAGACTTCATCCAACGCAACCCTCACAGACCTACTACTGCTACCGAAGCTAATGACGATGCAACTCCTACGACCACAGCAACTGTACCATACATAAAGGGAATGTCTGAGAACATCTCGCTCATCCTACAACCATTCAATATCCGCGTCCTTCACAAACCTATTACCACACTAGGTCATCAGTTACTGACTAACGTTAAAGACAAAGATGAATCGAAGAACAGACAAGGAGCAGTATATAAGATCAATTGCTCCGACTGCGACGCCTTCTATATCGGTGAGACTGGCAGAAAACTCACAACTAGACGGACTGAACACAAACGAACGACGAGGAAAGGCGATGTCAACAATCACATTGCTGAACATCACCGACTTACGAGCCACACTATTGACTGGGACTCTGCGCAATGCCTAACATACAGCACCAACTACTTTCAACGACTGACCCTGGAAAGCTGGTTTATTAACTTGGAACAGACTCCCCTTAAAAGGTGTCAACCACTACCGGCACCATACAAACGACTCATTCACGACATTAACATTACCAACGAACCGAACAGAACGACCTAACTTCACTGACGAATCCAAACCGACCAATCACGACTGACCCACGCCACTTGAGTCTTACAGCCAGTAACATCACGGCAAAACTGACCAATCAGTTTATACAAACCGGACGCAGTACATTCGACTGACAACAACCTTTCACTTGACTCTGATGATGACTTCCGCTCAGGTTGTCGAAACGTCAGTCACCATTACCGACAACATTCCTTCTCAGGACTACACTCACCCGGACGATCAAACTACAGTATTATACTACTATTATTGACAAGACCATTTTAATTTAAAGGTCTTGGGTCCCCGTGTACACACACATATATATCTGTGTATGTGTGCTATTCCTATCACTTACTGATATAGAAATGAAATGTAACCCGTCTTGCACCTTTTCGTTCTTAGTACCAAGTCGACCGCCTTCAAAAATAACAGCAAAAAACCACACGAGTCTTGCAGAAATTCCCATTTCTTGGGAACCAGTCCCTCAAGAATTCATACATGGTCGTCATGTCGGTTACCGAGTTACTTATCAAGCTGTTTTTATTGGAGACCTGCCCGCGTATTTCGAGCCAGTGATGAGCATCGACGTTGGGAATGAGAAAACTTCTATGATACTTCGAGATCTGGAACCACTTGTAGTGTATAAAATAACTGTGGCAGCCATATCGAACCAGGGACCTGGACCCAAAGGTGTCACATTTGGAGGTAGGTGGAGATAGACTTTATATATTTGTTAACCAATCCCCTTCTGACTAGTAAAACATAGGTAAGGACTTGTAATAGACCCATCCCCACCCCCACTTCCTACCTGCCTTTTATGGGTGCAACGTCCATGCGGTCAATTCCCCATCCATCGTTCTCTGGTGAGCTATGACTATGAAGAGAAAGCCACCGCGCTAATCACGCGTGAAATTATACATAGCAATATTGCACAAACGCCTTTATTTCCGTTTCCTGTCTCCATAGAAACATGCCGTTGCCATAAGCATCTAACGACAAACTGGAGAAATTACCCTCCCTATGTCAATCTGATGTCTTTAAGCAGTCCTGGCGTTATCATACCACGCCTTCTCGAAGAAGTAATCAATGAATGCTGTGGGGAGTGCCATGCACATGGAAAATCAGAACTGGACTTCAGCCGCAGTGGAAATAATGGGACTTCGGAGCAAAACAGGTCAGAGTATCTTCTGGAAAATATTGATAACCAGACGGATTTTTCCTTTCCGGTTAACGGCTACAGGTTGCAGAACAGTTACAGGGGAGGATTGGGGTATTCACCGTTTGTTGAGTCTGCTGGGGTGGCGTTTCTGACTTACCAGTATTCCTCTGATGTGAAGCACGCCATGTTTGTAGCGCTCATGGCGTGCTGGCCTGTTGTGGTGCTATCTTTGGTGATGGCTTACATTGCGGGGCTGATAATGTGGTTACTGGTGAGTTGTGACTAGTACATAATTTAATTCATATTGACACACATGCAGTGCTCCTTGTAAACGAGAGATAAAATTACAAAAGTATTTCAACATATTGCTACAACACATTTTTTCTTTTCCTTTTTCTTTCTGCATTTATTCAGTTGTTTTGTTTATATATTCATTATTCGTTTTTTTATTCATTTGAAGGATACAAAATCTAACAATCAACATTTCCCTACCTCTTTTATCCACGGAACCTGGGAAGGAGTGTGGTGGGCGTTCGTATCCATGACAACCGTTGGGTATGTTTCAGATCGAGTGGTAATTGGAAATGATATAGAATACAACGCCAATACTAACTATTAGCAGGCTTAAATCGTTATATTGTCTAAATTGCATAAATCGAGCCTTTAATTCTATGACTCCATCCGCAATTTTCGTTTTTTATCCGTAGGCTAGTAAGTTAACCATTTAAAAAATGTACATGACGATAACAGTTGTGACCTTTGGCAGTATTTTGGCGCCACACACAGCTACGTAGTGGCTGTAGATAAATTTACGATATTCAATTTTCATACAGCTAATAATGGCCAACGTTCGAGGGGACCAAGATCCATGCACACTTTGCGCCCCATACTTGGGAAAGTTTATCTTTACATATGGTTTAAAGATTGAGCCAAAACTATCTGGGGTTTTTCATGTCTCCCTCGCAGGAAGTTTAGTCCTTGGTCTTGCCTACGTAAGGTTTACTCAGTTTCCCATGTCCCAACATATTTAAATTGTTTTTTTCTTCCTTGTAGCTATGGTGACCGTTCCCCAATCAGCCATTTGGGTCGCATTTTTGCTGTGGGTTGGCTGTTGACAGGTCTCGTCATAATCGCAATAACCATGGCGGCTTTAACAACAGCGCTGACGGAAATAACTGTACATAGCAAAACCACAATATATGGATCCAAGGTAGCTATTACCTGATTAAGGACTGATCGTTATTTGTCACCTGGGGAGTAGGGGTGGAGAATTTTTTTTTGGAAGGATCACACAGTTTTCAGGGGGGACGGGAGGGGATCAATCTTCCCCAATAGAGAATACTACAAACTTCATCATACCACAAACTTCATCATGGCACAACCAAACCCCTTCTTCTCCTCCCTTAGGCAACAACAGTGACGGTCGTTAGTTCATGCAAGAGAAAATTAAATTATGAGACTGTGTCCCTTTAAATACCCTTGTTCCACGGATAACTTGTCTCAATATATTCGCAGAAACAAGGAATGTGCTCTCCTGGGATGCTAGAGAACTTACAAAATAATGCAAAATTTAGTTTGATATTTCATTAAAACTATGATCTTTTAATTTTAGGTTGGAGCAATTCAAGGTTCTCCTGAATACTATCTTGGAATCAGACGAAATGCGATTTTAAACAAAGGTTTGAGTCAAAATCAATGTTTGGAATAACAAATATTCGTTAACTTAGTAATTAGGAGCTGCAATAGACTTGTCATATTTTTGACATACGCGACGAATCTTTTTTGATAGTTTTATTCAAAAAGTTTCAATATAAACTGCCTGAAACGCTGAAAATGTATAGAAAATATATAGTTTCGAATGATTGTTTTAGAGGATGACTCAAGTATTCTTATCAAATCACGGAGCGAAGTGGGCCAAAGTTTATTTAATCCCACGTTATAATTGCTCTTTCGACACTTAAATAAGGGACACCAGAGAAATACCCATGATCAACACGTCGCACGCAGTCTTAATAAAATCTTGATTTGTATCGTCACTGCGACCTAGCTAAAAAGAATCTTATCTTCTCTCTTCAGAGAAAAACTATAACTCGTTAGAAGAACTCTCCGACGCTCTCGTCAACAGAGAAGTCGAAGGTATCCTAGTAGATACATACGCTGGTGGAATGCGCCAAGATCTCTTTTCTAAGCCTTCAATTCGAGTGACCCAAATCGTTGATTACCAAACCGCGTATGGGGTAGTCATAAGTGGAGATTCGATGCGCCTTAGAAAGTGTTTCCATGGTTACATGCGCTCGCATCAAGCAGAGATCTTTCAATATGTTGACCAACTTGTCGAACCTATAAAGGTAGGCATGAGTCTTAGTCACGTCTTTTACCGGGCTTTATTGAGATGTTTTTTAGCATCCTTGTAATAGCTAGAAAACTGTTACCTGCCCTTAAATAGTAAGCCTAAAAGAGGATGGGATTGCTTTCTAAAAGATAATGACTTCCATGACCATCATCTGCCTTGTCCCGCTTTCTCGCTCAACCGTTATTTCAAACATCCAATGGATATAAGCAACTTTGAAAACGATTTCCTCGTTTAACTGCCTTCATATGAAACCAAAATTTACCATTCTGTTTAAGAAATACTTCAGACGGCGATTTTGAAGACGATGTTTGTTCGAAATCACAAGCCAAAATACGCACAGGAAAGATTCGCAATTCTATAAATGAAACAAAAGGACTCATATCACTATAATGAAATTCCTCAGCGTTTTCATTTTCTTTTAACGGTAAGCATAATTTCTTTAGCGGTAATGAACAACTCAAACTGTTCTTACGCCACAGGGATCAGGACTGAGCAACAGGGAAGATATTGAAGATATCTCGACCGGTTTGTTTGACAAAGAAAGTGACCTTTATCAAAGCACACTTATCATTATAGCTGCTTGTGCATTAACAGCTGCCGCCCTGGGGCTGCTCTTTGAAGCAAGCCGGAGACTACGAGAGCAGGAAAGAGTTCAAGCCTGCAGTAAGTGATAACCAATTATACTGATTAGAACACATTTCGATTTCAAGTGTCCTGAAACCAAACGCGAAATAACGTCAACTACAGTCGCCAATCATAACAAAAGAAATACCTCAAAGAGAAAATGGGAACTCAAAGTAGATGCATAAAACACTTCGCCGAACGCAAAAGGAAGCGAGAAACTCATAACTCCTTAATTTTAAAGCTAAAAAAAATGTTTCATAGCTGTTTTGTTAAACACGGTTTAAACGTGTTTCAATCATCAAAGCTGCTTAGATAGATGTTTTTCGACGTCGAATTTAGCATATTGAAAAGAAAAGATAGTGATTACTTGAATCTTTTGGAAAATTCAGTTTTCCAGTCATCTGTTTCTGATTTTCATTTCGTTATACTTGGTTGACTTAACATGTTTTGCAAGTATGAATGGGTTGTCAGTCACGATTTATTTTTCTTACTTATTCTCGGTTGAGATAGAAGGGAGAAGGGGGGGGTCCAAACTAGCTAATTGAAGAGAATACGAAATTATAAATCCAACGCAATTCAGATATACATTCGACGCGCGCTTGGAATAGTGCACGCTAAAGCTTACGATCTTCTTATGCTCTGTGTTTGATTTGAAACCAGGGAAATTTTTTTTTTCATGTCAAAAACAGGCTACTTGGAAAATATCTCCTCAGCCACTCCCTTTCAAGACAAAAATCGTTAATAAAGTAACAAAGTTTAGCTCACCGTTCAACGTTGTTTACAGGTTTGTCGACGGTGAAGGAAAAAAATGTTGGTGAAATGAAGTTACTTACGGAAAAATTCGTTCAACATATGGTAAAAACTCTAACTGAGATGAAAGCAAGACACATGAGAGAGTTACTGACCTTTGCAAAACTTACGCCACAGAGGAAGACCACTAAGTTGAATCGTAAAATGACAAGTTCTGCTACGCTGAGTACCAAAGACGTCGATGATATCTCGACGCCTTAAAGGACATGATGGCTAATATCTCAGATGTTCCCTTGAGTCTCGAGAATGACTCGTACGGAGAGTATTCGGAGTTCTTTTTCTCCGATTATTTCTCTCTCATTAACTGAATAACACCTTCCTTTAGCTTTCATAAAATCAAATTAATTAGCTCTAACAGTAGTCTTGAACGTGATATTCAGTACAACGTAAAGGGACAGAACAACAAAACCTAGTTTGAAAACTGATGTTTCAGCATACATCGAAGATGCTCTTGAAAGAATGTATCGTTACATCGAATTCAGTTATGACGTATTTAGTAATAGATATTTCAGGAAAATCGTTATCCTCGTTCCTGTTTCTTAGGTATCCACATATACGGATGTAGTTTCTATATATCTTTCGCTTAGAACATTAAAAGTAATATCGTTTTCAATAAAACAGAAGGAGAACAGTTGCTAACATAAACGGATTTTGTCCCTCTATTGAAGTAATCCTGTTAAGGTTTTCTGTAGATCATTCCAGAGTGAGGAATTAGTAGTAAACGGTGTTCTTACTCATTTTTAGTGTTATTGCATGCAGTTCTACGTTGTATGTTAAAAGCAAACAGTGGCGAGAACGATAGATTACCTCTTAGGCTGAAGCTTAATTCAAGAGTAGACTGAGGCTCAAAAGAAATCTTTCCCTGTTCTTCTTTTATTGACACACTTTCGAAATAGGGAATCGACGGAGTATTTTTTTTTAAACAAGTTCCAACCCCTCGAGTCACACATACTGGCTAACCCCGATTCAAACCATTTACTGTTTGAGCACTTCCGGTTTCAGCCCGTCAAGAACTCCAAGCTTGCGCAGAATCATGGTCTAGGGGACTCCCCATTTTATTGCAAACAGAACCCAACACTTAAACAATGGCAGAGTCAGCACGTTTGCTGCTTCTAATTGCAATTTTTCGTTCCATAACATACCTGTCGAGTCTTATTTGGTACTTTATCAGTTATAGTGACTTTCATTAAGACATCTGTCTGGCAGATTGAGGAAGCAAGGTCTTAACACAGTCAAACGTCGCGTCCTTTTCGAATTACATTACAAATCTACAGGTATAAAGATCTACAGGTATAAAGAACGTTTCCGTGGTGTGACAGATTTGAATATGAGGTAAATATTCGAGCTTCTCCGTTAATATTTTCTCCTATTTATGTTGTTAATATGTCCTAAGTTTCTTTGATTTCCGGTATAAAAGACGTTCCTGCATTTAACTGCTTAGGAATCGGATAGCTTTTACTTGAATCTGGCTTGCAGTTTATTGCCGCTTCGCTGTACTGATAGGCTAAGCTTAGCTTACATGTTACAGCTGTCGAATTCACAAAAAGTCGAAAAATATCATTTGTATTAACCTCGGAAGGGATTGAAAGGATTATTCAAAGTGTCGATTTAATGTGGTGATCGCGCTGATGATCGAAACATTATCAGTAGTGTTTGCAATCCATTTAAGATAAAGCATGATCGTGTTAAGAACTAGCTTTCGTGTATTAAGGCTTACTTTAAATTGTTTTTGTATTGTCGTTCACGATAAAGCTGCTGTAATTCCGCACGACGTGAGCATGGCCGACAGTCAAATGCCCGTCGGTTGCTCGGGGGAAGCGGCGAGGGATACTGAAGCTTCGAATTGATCGGTGCATTGGTCGCCAGGGAGTTAAATGAAATAATAATTCCTCAAGCATGCCGCATGCCGGCGTTAGATATGAGATGATAGATAGACCACGAAGGGCTAATTGGCTTTAATCGTCTCATATCCAACAAGCGCGGTTGGAATAATTATTTTATTAAAATCACTCTTAAATATAAATGAATCTTCCCAACTTTAGTATGTAAACTTTATTTTTTTTAAGCCTACACTTGACTGCCAGTTGATATTATTGTTCGAAGCAAGCAATTTAATATGATAATTTCCAAAAGCTTAATTACTGGTATTTCATAGTTGATTGAAATAAATTCATTAATTGCTTGAATTAATTCTTCCAAAGATGAGTTGAGATAGGAAAATTTTCAAGAATTTATCAGCCAATGACCACAGAGGTATATCTTACAATCACTCATTGTCTTGGATTTTTGTGTTCAACTTGGCTAACTGTACTGTTTTTAATAAATGAAGTTTTTAAGGTTTTGATTTCTTTCTGCTATTTTTATTGTTTTATTTTTGTTGTTGTTGTTGTTGTTGTTGGAAAAGTATCCTTTCGTTTTTTTTCTCTGCTGATGAATTGTAGGACATTGAAGTCATTAATCCCCATTCGAAAATCAACAATTGTTTTGTATAATGATGTGTCTCTAAGTATATAAACCACAAAGCAAAAATCTAAACAATGTTTGGGACAAACACAGCCTTTATTATTGCAAGATTACTAATTAACTTACATTTTCATAAATACACACTTCCTATATGATATATATGTGCAAATAAGAAAATAATACTCAAACATGATATTAAACTAAAAAACAAAAGGCTGTCTAGAAGAAAACCTGTGAAGATATTATGACAAGCAAAAAAGGTAATAGAGAGTTTGGAGGGAAGAAAAATTGCTTCTAAGAATGCAAATGTTGTCTATGTGTATGTGCTAACAAACTGGGCCATTGATCTAGGTTGTTGGTTCAAATCCCATTGAGGCCTGAATTTTTTTTTTTGTCTTATTTTCACCACTGCTTAAGTGGTGTTCATGACTGTGAAGATTGCTGTCATATTTATGTCCATGATCAAGCTTACTATTTAGCAATAGCTGAATGCATATGTGTGATGTAACTCTCAGCAGTTTTTGTGGTCAGATTTACTCACCATTTGCTCAACCAGTAGTAGTTGAGATTTACTGATCATTCAGTGATCAATGATGTAGTAATTGAGATGTTCAATTAAACCTTTTTGTGTTGTGCAATCTTGCCTATTTTGTGCCTCAATAACTTAAGTACCTAACATGACATCATTGTACTTTTACTTGCAATATGGAACTTAACTAGTAGGGTAGGTCTGTTGATGTTAAATTGCTTGTACTTAATAAGCAAGCTTGACCACAATAGGCCATTTTACAGTTGTGTACTTTGATTTGATTTGGAGTGAGGCTAAAGGTAACCTTGTAGTGATAGAAACCAGTATCTAATTAGCATAATAACATGGCAATTTGCATTTGAAAAGCAGCAAGATTTGTATCATAACAAGATCACCCTAAGCCTCACTCCTGTTAAAAGGCTCAGCAACCAAGCCCACAGCTGTAAAATGGACTATTAAAATGCAAAACTGTCCCTGTACCAAATTACTGTTTTCATAATTTAAAAGAACATCACCCAGAATTGGGTGATATTTCACATAAACTTAAGCTTGCAACATGAGATCTCACCTCAGCCTTATAGTATAGATTATTTAAATTTTTGCTGTAAACTATGAACTTGCTCCACACCATTGTTGAACTTTTGCCCATATCAGTCAAGAATGTATTTCATAAATCTTAAAATTTAAGTGAATTTTGTTTGATAAGTTATCTTTCCTTCTGGTGAATTGATCTTTTTTTATATAATTATTTTGCTCCTTTTTCAGTCCATCAGATTGTTGTTATGGGTAAAATTGAATGTATCTTTTCCAATCTTAGAGGAAATTAGATTTACTAATAATAAGGTACTTAAATTAACTAATAGTATGTATTTAAGTTTTTGAAATAATATTGAGGCACAAAATAGGCAAGATTGCACAACACAAAAGGTTTAATTGAGCATCTCAATTACTACATGATTGATCACTGAATGGTCAGTAAATCTCATCTGCTACTGGTTGAGCAAATTAGAGCTAATAGTAATTAACTGTAGTTGAGCAAAGTTTTACCACCTTTCTCTTTCTTCAGGCCAGAATAATGTGAAACAGAAACTTAAATGTAAGAAGCATCCTCTCAGGTTTGCAATGGCTATGGAAAGAAATCTAATCACAGTTCCATGTGAAAATGAGGTCAGACCTGAAAAGGAAGATGCCCTGGACTGGATGATTGGAGGATCAAGGTTTGTGACCTTTTGTGTTAACTCTGAATTACCATTCTTTGTTAAAATCAGTGAATTAATCAAAGCACGTTGGAATGTGTTTGAATAAATTATCAAGCTTACATCGTTAGGGTAGATTGAAATTTGCTATTTGCCCTTCGAAAAGGATTTTTATCACTTAAATTCAATAACTTATAACTGTTAATCCTTGGGTTCATAACTTCGCCATGAATTAAAGCGATCAGAGCATAGCGATTGTGCGTTCACCAGTTGATTCTGTTTTAATTCGATTTGTTGTGAAACATATTCCAGAAACAGATTTCAGGTCTTTTGATCAAAATAAATTTATTCAAATTATATTCACAATGCGAAAATGAAATATATTTAGCTTTCTTGTGGTTGTCATTTGCAATTTGAAATGTCTATTCATAACTTTCGAGCTCATTTTCGAATTCAGGCCACGTGTGCACACTGCGGGTGATTTAAATAGAGAGACCCCAGAGACCACAATACAGTAACTCTCTATTTGTTTGTACATGACTTCATGTCAAAATTAGGGCATTATATTTTTACAATTTAGGAGCACATATTTGAAATAATACTTTCAGTTCCTACTATTTAACTCTCCTTTTAATATGTAAAACTTCCTTTTAATTTATGTTTCTTTCCTGCTCGTACAGTGTACTACTTGGTTCAGTTTGTAGATGACGGTATTTTGGACATCAAAACTGACGACGACTTTAGAACAAGGGAAGATGGCCTTAAAGAGGCACAGTATGGGGATACCTTTTACTTGTGTACAATAATTTTTGAAAGTGGTGAGTCTAAGCACTTTTTTTGTTTTGATCATGATAGGAAGCTACATGTAAGTTGTTTGATTTTGCTTTTCTATGCAAATCTGAAAGAATTAGCTCTGAAATGTTACGAAATGGCTCGGTTTTTCATCATGGAAGCATGACATTGATGAAAATGGTGCCACCTACTTTAAATACAATCCATTTTCTTAAAATCTTTCTGAAAAAGTCATGATTAAGGTCAGGGCTCGACCCTAACTTTTCAACTTACTAGCCAAGTGGTTAGTGTCAACTTAGATGTTACAACAATTTCAGTTTGCTTACTAGCTAGACTGGCTGGTGGAGATTGAAAACCATGTGTGTATCTACCAATGTGTGGCTAGTGTCGAGCCCTGGAGGTAATTAAGGATAGAAATGGATATTGTAATCCCAAATCAATGGAAAAGGCATGGTGACAAACTACTGGTACATGGTGTGCCTCTTGCAAGTTGTATATTTTGTTGATAGGATTTAATAAAATAATTTAATTTGATAAAAATAATTTAAAACAAGCTTCAAATAGATGAAAGAGGAGGCAACAAAATCACAAACAGATGTAGAATCTTTTGTTGCAAACTTGTGCTGTGATTGGTTGCTGCAACTGAAGTTTATTTTTACTGTTAATGGATATCTTTTTGATAGCTGGAGATGTTTTAACTTGCAGATGATAAAGAGGAAGTGATGAAAAGAAAAGTTGCCATGCAGAAATTGAAAAACCCCAAACAAACAGAACAAAGTAAAATGAAAAAGATAGGAAAGAAAACAAAGGAAAACAGAAAGAATGTCGGTGAGGAGAAGGAGGGTGAAGAATCCACACAAAAAGAAATGGTGGATAGGGAAGAAATTGCAAGAAAGAAAGCAGAATGACAGAAGAAATGAGAAGAACAACGAAAGGCTAAGGAAAACAAGGAAAGGGAAAAGGCTGTAAAAGAAAAGGAAAGAGCTGCTTTGATGGAAAGGGATAACCGCATACTTGCAGAGATGAACTCTTTAGCAAGAAATCTGGATGTCGAAAGCAAGCAGCCATTTACCAATTTATCTGATGAAGAGGAGTATGATGTTGACAGGGCTGAACCCATGGATGATGATGAATATTTTGGTGGAAGAGATATTATATCTGAATGTTCATCTTACCTTCATCCCCCCCTCTCTCTTCCTCCCCCTTCCAACTCTGCCAAACCAGCTTCACAAACCCCAAGAGCAACAGTTGGTGGAAAAAGACCCAGGGATTTCTCCCAGAGTCAACCACAACTTCCTCCAAGACCAACTGTGGGTGGAAAAAAGCTAAGGTCCACATTCCACCACAGCTGCCAAAAATGTGAGGAGTATAAGGAAATCATAGCTGCACAAAATCAAGAAATTGCTAAACTCAAGGCTCAAGGTAATTATATCTCACTTTTTACATGACTAGCACTCATATATTTAATGATAAGATAGAGAGTGCAGGGCATTTTCCTGTCTGCTTTTCCTTTTGCTTCTCATTGGATTGACTAATTGTGAGGGGAAAGATGGATACCAGTTGATCATAGTCTATCTTGTATAATTTTACAATAACTCTGAAAGTAGGGAATAAACCATTTTAAATCACTTTAATAAGGCTGCAACTCTTGCAAATTGTATTTTAATGATGCATCTTATTGTGTTTCAAATATTGATGCTTATTTTGAAGGGAAGATTATTTTTCCACATTTACATACTTATGAATTAAAATACTGGTGACAGTCAAGCAGATTGACCCACTGATTGATTGCTATATTTAATCTTCCCATGTTAGCCAGGTAATTAAAGCTATGATGTAATCCATTTATCTGTTGTAGTGAATGGTTGTTATGAAGAGCTCCCCAGACCTGGGAAAGTCCCTGAGATTGTGGCAGCACGGTTCAAGGTAAATGCTTTAAGGCTTAATACCTGGCAATTAGACTGTAAAGCTTAAGTTATCGAATTTATATATTTTTTATAATTTGAGCTTAAGAGGCATATCTGACCATCAAATGCAATGTAGACTGAGTTTGTTTAGAGTTTTGAATAATTTCTTACATGGCTATTGTAGAAGGGACTACTTGAAAACTTCTGTGCAGGGAATCAGTTGAAAGTGCTTTCATTGCCTTAGTGGTCATGCACTTTCAAAATTCAAATGTTCACCATAGCCTTCCTTCAATTTAACATTAAAAACATGACAGAAGTGTAAAGGACATGATTGTTATGAAAACCTTATGGTTAAATTTGTGTGTCCTTTTTAGATGGTTGAGTTGTCAAAAGGTAGAGGTGTCTACTTATACGAGGATCACATAAACACAGCCAAGAGTAAAAACAGCCCAACTTCAGCAGCATGTTTCCTGCTCAGCTGCTTTTATAAAAATTCTGAGCTAGTGGGAAAGAATCTGACCGGAGCAAATGCCAGAGAGGGCTTAAATGCTGACATTGTTTCCTCAATTTTGGGTAAATACATTGCATTTGGTGTTTTTGTCATTTTATTACTATTGGGAATCTGTACACTTATACATGTTGATCAACATGACTTTCTCAAGGATCAGCCTTGTAAAAAAACTTTGGGACCATCCATATAAAAAAGTGAGGAAAACAACTCCAAGCAAGTATTCAGAAGTTCCTTTGATCTAAGTGATCTCGGATCATTGATTGTGGTATGAGTCTTTCCAAACCTTGTTGTCATGCATAAGTCTAGAAAGTTAAGCTCCTGTGTTTCTTTTTCTTTGCAGATTTTGTGGTAAAGCAAGGGGGGAAGGCCTCTACAATCAAGCAAGCCCTGAGAAATAAAATTAGTTCTCTAACCACAAGGGCAAGTGGTTGGCAACCTGCCAGGAAAGTAAACAATTGAATCGATTGAATTAAGATTAATTAAAATTATATGATTGGATACTCAGTAGATAGACTATTTTCTATTATGATTTGCACAAGGCTTGCTTGCTTCTCTAATTATTAAATAACAAAGTCAATTTTTTTATTATTACATTTTACATCAGCCAGTTTTTTATTGGCTTTAATCCCAACTAGAGACATTGTAAGTGACATTGCTGATTTTCATGAAATTTGTTTCTGTTTTACATGATTGAATGATGAAGTCCATTTTATAGATATTCTTCGTTTTAAAACAATGAATAGTTTTTGTTAAGTATCCCAACATTGTGAGAGTCAGTTCTAATTTGCATGGAATTTATTGTTAAAATTTATGAAATAATTCATTGTAAAATATATATTTTTGCATCAAAAGACAATTTAGAAGCAGTCTATTGTACAAATTTTAGGTTATTTGTCATGGTCAATTGTACCAAATAAATTAAAGACATGAATTTCATACTTTTGCTTGAATGCTTATCTGACTTGGCCAAGTATATAATACAGCTGAATACATGCCGTATGAACTAGTGGTTGCATGCCTGTTCGTGCATATTAATTTACCTGGCTGCAGGTATGTATGCCATTCATTTGTAATATCTTGAATACACTCTAAGTATACTTAAAGTATACTTTAAGTATACTGTACTTGTCACTTTGCCACTAGTGGTTTTACTAATGAAGTATACTTGAAGTGCACTGCAAAATTTTCAGTACCTTTCAAGTATACTTCAAGTATACTTTTGGGTGTTCCAATTTCAGGTGGGAACAAGTATACTGCAAGTATACTTTTAGTAGCTCTGTAAACTATACTTCAAGTCTACTGAAAGTATACTTTGTGTAACTTATTTGCAGTACACTTTGATTACAGAAATAGTATACTAAAAGTGTACTTTTGGTAAGGGTAAAGCCAATTAGCCCCTCGTGGGCTATCTATCATCTCATATCCAACGCATGCTTAGGAATTATTATTTCATTTAACTCCCTGGCGACCAATGCACCGATCAATTCGAAGCTTCAATATCCCTCACCGCTTCCCCCGAGCAACCGACGGGCATTTGACTGTCGGCCATGCTCACGTCGTGCGGAATTAAAACAGCTCTATTGTGAACGACAATACAAAAACAATTTAAAGTAAGCCTTACACGAAAGCTAGTTCTTAACACGATCATGCTTTATCTTAAATGGATTGCAAACGCCACTGATGTTTCGATCATCAGCGCGATCACCACATTAAATCGACACTTTGAATAATCCTTTCAACCCCTTCCGAGTTTAATACAAATGACATTTTTCGACTTTTTGTGAATTCGACAGCTGTAACATGTAAGCTAAGCTTAGCCTATCAGTACAGCGAAGCGGTAATATACTACAAGCCAGATTCAAGTAAAAGCTATCCGATTCCTAAGCAGTTAAATACAGGAACGTCTTTTGTGCTGGAAATCAGAGAAACTTAGGACATATTAACAACATTAATAGGAGAAAATTTTGACCGAGAAGCTCGAATATTTACCTCATATTCGAAATCTGTCACACCACGGAAACGTTCTTTATACCTGTAGATCTTTATACCTGTAGATTTGTAGTGTAATTCGAAAAGGACGCGACGTTTGACTGTGTTAAGACCTTGCTTCCTCAATCTGCCAGACAGATGTCTTAATAAAAGTCACTATAACTGATAAAGTACCAAATAAGACTCGACAGGTATGTTATGGAACGAAAAATTGCAATTAGAAGCAGCAAACGTGCCGACTCTGCTATTGTTTAAGTATTAGGTTCTGTTTGCAATAAAAGGGCATAGTTAGTAGAGGAGTCTCCTCTACTAACTATGGTTGTACTGAATATCACGTTCAAGACTACTGTTAGAGCTAATTAATTTGATTTTATGAAAGCTAAAGAGAGGTGTTATTTAGTTAATGAGAAAGGAATACCCGGAGAAAAAGAACTCCGAATACTCTCTGTACGAGTCATCCTCGAGACTCAAGGGTTGTAAGTCGATTTAAGTCAGGGAAAAAGAGCCCCAGTAAGAAAATTTCCCCAAGGACTCTCCCGCCCTGAATTAAAATGTACTCACATCTCCTGGGTCCCCGGGGATGAATAGGAATCGAATTCGAACCTTCGACCTTCCGATTAGTATTCGGATGCTCTGCCACTGAGCTATAACAGACTAGTGACAGGTTAGGCCGTTTATCTAGGTCTGTGGTGACAAACTTCCTGTATACTGCGAAGATAGGAATGTGAATATGTAAAGCTTATGCCCAACGATGATGTAAACGAAGATGGTGAAAATGGGCATTGCAGAAGTTCGAATGGAAGGGAAGCAGAAAAAAATTTCGACTCTCATTTCTAATTAGCTTGCAACTATTCCTAGCAAATTTTCGTCTACCAAGTAATACACTTTATTTTATCTTTTCTCCATTCTAGATCAATATATGCATGGTAAGCTGAACATCTTGAGATATTAGCCATCATGTGCTTTAAAGCGTCGAAATATCATCGACGTCTTTGGTACTCAGCGTAGCAGAACCGGTCATTTTACGATTCAACTTCGTGGTCTTCCTCTGTGGCGTAAGTTTTGCAAAGGTCAGTAACTCTCTCATGTGTCTTGCTTTCATCTCAGTTAGAGTTTTTACCATATGTTGAACGAATTTTTCCGTAAGTAACTTCATTTCATCAATATTTTTTTCCTTCACCGTCGACAAACCTGTAAACAACGTTGAACGGTGAGCTAAACTTTGTTACTTTATTAACGATTTTTGTCTTGAAGGGAGTGGCAGAGGAGATATTTTCTAAGTAGCCTCTTTTTGACATGAAAAAAAAATTTCCCTGGTTTCAAATCAAACACAGAGCGTAAGAGGATTGTAAGCGTTAGCGCTCACTATTCCAAGCGCGCGTCGAAGATATATCTAAATTGTGTTGGATTTATAATTTCGTATTCTCTTCAATTAGCTGGTTTCGAAACACACCCCCCTCCCTCCCTTCTCTCTCAACCGAGAATAAGTAAGAAAAATAGATTGTGACTCACAACCCATTCATACTTGCAAAACATGTTAAGTCAACCAAGTTTAACGAAATGAAAATCAGAAACAGGTGACTGGGAAACTGAATTTTCCGAAGGATTCGAGTAATCACTAACTTTCCTTTTCAATATGCTAAATTCGACGTCGAAAAACATCTATCTAAGCAGCTTTGTTGATTGAAAAACGTTTTAACCGTGTTTAACAGCTATGAAACATTTTTTTTAGCTTTAAAGTTAAGGAGTTATGAGTTTCTCGCCTCCTTTCGCGTTTAGCGAAGTGTTTTATGGATCTACTTTGAGTTCCCATTTTCTCTTTGAGGTATTTCTTTTGTTATGATTGGCGACTGTAGTTAACATTATTTTGCGTTTGGTTTCAGAACATTTGAAATCGAAATGTGTTCTAATCAGTATAATTGGTTATCGCTTACCGCAGGCGTGAACTCTTTTCCGCTCTCGTAGTCTCCGGATTGCTTCAAAGAGGAGCCCCAGGGCAGCAGCTGTTATTGCACAAGCGGCTATAATGATAAGTGTGCTTTGATAAAGGTCACTTTCTTTGTCAAACAAACCAGTCGAGATATCTTGAATATCTTCCCTGTCGCTCAGTCCCGATCCCTGTGGCGTAAGAACAATTTAAGTTGTTCATTACCGCCAAAGAAATTATGCTTACCGTTAAAAGAAAATGAAAACGCTGGGGGATTTCATTATGCTGATATGAGTCCTTTTATTTCATTTATAGCATTGCGAATCTTTCCTGTGCATATTTTGGCTTGTGATTTCGAACAAAAATCGTCTTCAAAATCGCCGTCTAAAACCTCGAAGTATTTCTTAAACAGAATTGTAAATTTTGGTTTCATATGAAGACAGTTAAACGAGGAAAATCGTTTTCAAAGTTGCTTATATCCATTGGATGATTGAAATAACGGTTGAGCGAGAAAGCGGGACAAGGCAGATGATGGTGTTGGAAGTCATTATCTTTTAGAAAGCAATCCCATCCTCTTTTAGGCTTACTAATTAAGGGCAGGTAACAGTTTTCTAGCTATTAAAAGGATGCTAAAAAGCATCTCAATAAAGCCCAGTAAAAGACGTAACTAAGACTCATACTCACCTTTATAGGTTCGACAAGTTGGTCAACATATTGAAAGATCTCTGCTTGATGCGAGCGCATGTAACCATGGAAACACTTTCTAAGGCGCATCGAATCTCCTCTTATGACTACCCCATACGCGGTTTGATAATCAACGATTTGGGTCACTCGAATTGAAGGCTTAGAAAAGAGATCTTGGCGCATTCCACCGGCGTATGTATCTACTAGGATACCTTCGACTTCTCTGTTGATGAGAGCGTCGGAGAGTTCTTCTAATGAGTGATAGTTTTTCTCTGAAGAGAGAAGATAAGATTCTTTTTAGCTAGGTCGTAGTGACGATACAAATCAAGATTTGATTAAGACTGCGTGCAACCTGTTGATCATGGGTATTTCTCTGGTGTCTTTTATTTAAGTTTCGATAGAGCAATCATAACGTGGGATTACACAAACTTTGGCTCACTTCGCTCTGTGATTTGATAAGAATACTTGAGTCATCCTCTAAAACAATCATTCGAAACTAGATATAATCTCATTTTCAGCGTTTCAGGCAGTTTATATTGAAACTTTTTGAACAAAACTATCAAAAAAGATTTGTCTCGTATGTCAAAAATATGACAAGTCTATGGCAGTTCCTAATTACTGAGTTAATGAATATTTGTTAATCCAAACATTGATTTTAACTGAAACCTTTGTTTAAAATCGCATTTCGTCTGATTCCAAGATAGTATTCAGGAGAACCTTGAATTGCTCCAACCTAAAATTAAAAGATCATAATTTTAATGAAATATCAAACTAGATTTTGCATTATTTTGTAAGTTCTCTAGCATCCCCCGGAGAGCACATTCCTTGTTTCTGCAAAATATATTGAGACAAGTTATCCGTGGAACAAGGGTATTTAAATGGACACAGTCTCATAATTTAATTTTCTCTTGCATGAACTAACGACCGTCACAGTTGTCGCCTAAGGGAGGAAAAGAGGGGGTTTGGTTGTGCCATGATGAAATTTGTGACCCCTCATTGGCCATCAACTTTCCATAGTTCCCCTAGTATTCTCTGCTGGCGAAGATTGATCCCCTCCCGTCCCCCCTGAAAACTGTGTGATCCTTCCAAATAAATTCTCCACCCCCACTCCTCCAGGTGACAAATAACGATCAGTCCTTATTAAATCTGGTAGTAGCTACCTTGGATCCATATATTGTGGTTTTGCTATGTGCAGTTATTTCTGTCAGCGCTGTTGTTAAAGCCGCCACGGTTATTGCGATTATGACGAGACCTGTCAACACCCAACCCACAGCAAAAATGCGACCCAATTGGCCGATTGGGGAACGGTCACCATAGCTACAAGGAAAAAAAAACAATTTCACTGGGGCTCTCTTTAAATATGTTGGGACATGGGAAACTGAGTAAACCTTATGTAGGCAAGATCTAAGGCTAAACTTCCTGCGAGGGAGACATGAAAACCCCCACATAGTTTTGGCTCAATCTTTAAACCACATGTAAAGTTAAACTTTCCCAAGTATGGGGAACAAAGTGTGCATGGATCTTGGCCCCCTCGAAAGTTGGCCATTATTAGCTGTATGCAAATTGAATATCGTAAATTTATCTGCAACCACTACGTAGCTGTGTGTGGCGCCAAAATACAGCCAAAGGTCACAACTGTTATCTTCATGCACATTTATTAAATGGTTAACTTACTGCCCAACGGATAAAAAACGAAAATTGCGGATGCAGTCATAGAATTCAAGGCTTGATTTATGCAATTTAGACAATATAACGATTTGAGCCTGCTAACAATTACTATATCATTTCCTATTACCAGTCGATCTGAAACATACCCAACGGTTGTCATAGATACGAACGACCACCACACTCCTTCCCAGGCTCCGTGGATAAAAGAGGTAGGGAAATGTTGATTATTAGATTTTGTATCCTTGAAATAAATAAAAAAAATGACAATGAAAATATGAAAAAAAAACAATTGAATAAATGCAAATAAAATAGGAAAAAAATGTGTTGCAGCAATATGTTGAAATAATTTTGTAATGTTATCTCTCGTTTACAAGGAGCACTGCATGTGTGTCAATATGAATCAAATTATGTACTAGTCACAACTCACCAGTAACCACATTATCAGCCCCGCAATATAAGCCATCACCAAAGATAGCACCACAACAGGCCAGCACGCCATGAGCGTTACAAACATGGCGTGCTTCACATCAGAGGAATCCTGGAAAGTCAGAAACGCCACCCCAGCAGACTCAACAAACGGTGAATACCCCAATCCTCCCCTGTAACTGTTCTGCAACCTGTAGCCGTTAACCGGAAAGGAAAAATCCGTCTGGTTATCAATATTTTCCAGAAGATACTCTGACCTGTTTTGCTCCGAAGTCCCATTATTTCCAATGCGGCTGAAGTCCAGTTCTGATTTTCCATGTGCACGGCACTCGCCACAGCATTCATTGATTACTTCTTCGAGAAGGCGTGGTATGATAACGCCAGGACTGCTTATAGACATCAGATTGACATAGGGAGGGTAATTTCTCCAGTTTGTCGTTAGATGCTTATGGCAACGGCATGTTTCTATGGAGACAGAGGAAGCGGAAATAAAGGCGTTTGTGCAATCTTGCTATGTATAATTTCACGCGTGATTAGCGCGGTGGCTTTCTCTTCATAGTCAGAGCTCACCAGAGAACGATGGAGGGGGAATTGACCGCATGGACGTTGCACCCATAAAAGGCAGGTAGGGGGTGGGGGTGGGGATAGGTCTATTACAGAGGTCCTTACCCATGTTTTACTAGTCAGAAGGGGATTGGTAAACAAATATATACAGTCTATCTCCACCTACCTCCAAATGTGACACCCTTGGGTCCAGGTCCCTGGTTCGATATGGCTGCCACGGTTATTTTATACACTACAAGTGGTTCCAGATCTCGAAGTATCATAGAAGTGTTCTCATTCCCAACGTCGATGCTCATCACTGGCTCGAAATACGCGGGCAGGTCTCCAATAGAAACAGCTTGATAAGTTACTCGGTAACCGACATAACGACCGTGTATGAATTCTTGAGGGACTGGTTCCCAGGAAATGGGAATTTCTGTAAGACTCGTGTGGTTTTTTGCTATTATTTTTGAAGGCGGTCGACTTGGTACTAAGAACGAAAAGGTGCATGACGGGTTACGTTTCATTTCTATATCAGTAAGTGATAGGAATAGCACACACACAGAGATATATATACATATATATATCTGTGTGAAAATACTCCTTCAACTCTTTATAAGAAGAAAAATTATTTTGGTTGGGGGGGGTGGTGATTTTTAAACCCACCATCTTCTCCTGTCTTTGCAACAACTGAGCCCGACACCCCGTCTCCAGCACTGTTAAACGCCCAAAGTAAAATTCTGTACTCCGTTGCTTTGCTCAGCTGAGTCAAAACCACTGAGTAGGCTCTTTCCGTTATCACTGGGCCAGTTCTGTTACTGACGTTGGTATATGTCAGGCGGTATCCTCTGATTATGCCATTGCGGTGTTCCGTGGGGACGTCGAGCCATGACACCAAGAGACTTTGGGAATGGAAGGCAGTCACGCGGATGTTGGAGGGAGGTGCTGAGGGGGCTACGAAGAAATTTCGGAAATAATTAGTATCCAAACGACTGCAGGCGGAGTGGGGTGTCATTCATTGGAAGTTCGAAAGGAGATGTGCGGAGACCTTTAAGTTTTTAAACCTGTCTACACGCGTTTTTCGTTACCCTGTTAAAGAAACATATGTCTACATTGTGGCATATCGAGCTTAGAACCCAAAGTCTACCATACTGTTCACTTGTTAACTGATTTAAGAGCAATTGTTAATGGCACACATGCAGGATCGGATATTGCTCCTGTCCGCTAGGGAAATATTAGGGAATGTCCACTCAGCCAATAAATGAAGGATATTACACGACGGAAAGAAGATACGAATTTTATGTGCGGGTGGCAAGAACATAAAATTCGATTGAACACGAAAAATAACAAATGAAATAATAATATCATAATGGTGATGATATCAACTGTGGATCACTTCAGAATAAGAAAGACCGTCAACCCGACTGATCACAGCCTTTGTGACCAGCTCCCAGTGGGCTTGCTAGCTCAGTTGGTAAAGCAATGCACCGGTATAGCACAGGTCATGGGTTCAAATTCCGTAAAAGTCTGATTTTTTTTGAGGCCATATTTTTACTACTGCACAAGAAGATTGCTTTCATATCTACGTCTTTATCTGCAGTTCACATATATTATTTTCATATATTTACAGTCATTTTTTATCCTTTGTGAGAGTTCTGGGCTGGTTGATTAGTACGATTTTAGTTTTAAAAGGTAATCTTTTTACCGGGTTGATCGACATTTCTGACCAACAAAATGATATAATATGTTTTCAGTACTGAAAATATTATTTAATTTTAACCATACTTACCACCTTCCCACGTTTGGGCGTAAACTGGCAGTGTGTAATTACCGTCTGTTATGCTAAAAGCTGCAATTTGCACCCCGTACGCAGTAAAGGGACTTAAGCCAGTTATAGTGACATGAGTGTCCTTCCTGCCCACTGCGGTGACCTTACTTTGACTCGGAGAAGCTCTGGTGAAGTGCAAAACTCGATAACCTTGAACAGATTGCGCATCTAACCCAGAGATTGGACTCCAGGTTACGTCAATTGTGGAGGCGCTCGTACCCAGAGCCTTTACGTCCGTGGCAGTCTTTTGGGGAGCTGAAAGAGAGAAATATTTGGATTCTTTTAAGCTGAGTGCTTAGGTAGGTGAGTAAACGTTCAGGTGTCCTGGTCTACTCCTCTAAGAAGATAGCTAGGCTCAATTTCAGCCTCAAAGAGGAGGATTGGGGGAGGAAGGGTCGCAGATAAAAATTTTCTCTCGCCTTCCTTGAAGAGACTTGCACTAATCCTCTTGCTTATGTATCAACGGGCTGGTTACCGTGCAGCGAGAAAAGTTAGCCAAATGTCTTAGATTTATACCGCCGACACTCTTTAAGTTCACGCGTTTTCGAAAAGCTGAATGATAGCATAATTTGTATGTCATCTACTTTGGAAAAAACATTTTCTCACAAATTGGGAAGGGAGGTCCACTGGTATTCCAGGATCCCCCTGGCTGCGTCCCAAGATTGGCCAAGCTTCTGTACGCTTTTGAAGCCTTAAGAAATGAATTTTCGGATTGTTATCGTGAAAATAGTAATATATCTCGACCAAGCTCTATTCTTTTGTGAAGTACTCACGTAGCGAGATCTATTTCGTGCAATATGCTCTTCTCGGAGGTGGTGATGTTATGAAAAATTTTTATGGGGAGACGCCAGAAAAATTTTTCCCTTTTTCATGATTTTCTTCCCCTTTTTCGGGAAAATCTGTGATTGATGCTTACCTGGGTCACCGATGGAAACATTGATCAATGAACTCCAAGGACCAAATCCTTTCCTGGTGAAGGCTCGAACCTTCAGACTGTAGTTGGAATATTGGTAAAGGCCCGCGAAAGATGCGGAGAGATTACGGCTGAGTATTGTAGAATTTCGCAAATATTCTCCCTCTTCATCGTAAATCTTTACCTGGTAACCTCGGATTATGCCCTTCTGAAGTTCTTTCGACACTGGCAGCCAAGAAAGTTTGATGCTGTTGGTGCCAGTAGGACTTCCTGTCACGTTGCTAGGAGGGCCTTGAGGCACTGAAATTTTTCAATAAGGTTCACTCAGGGGTGCAGTTTTAAAGTTCTGACTGGTTTAGCCACAGTGCACTTTAGTCATGGCTACACATAAAAATTAAGTCGTTCAGAATTACCTCTATTATTTTTATTGTCTTTTCAAATATCCTGTTAGCGATGACCATCGATATTTGTGTTGTCGCTAAGATATCAGTAACTGTATTTTCGCTCACTGGATGTCGGTGGCTAATCATTCAATCAGTTATTTATCGGGTTTGTCTGTTCATCGGCCAATAATTCAGCGAGTCTCCATCAATTAAGAGTCAAAGGGCTAGTCAGTTCGGTAACCGGTAACTTGAGCGGCCTATACTAAAGAATTCATTGTTGTGATATCAAATTTTCATGCGATGATTTTCGAATATCATCAATTTTTGTTTCAATTGAATCAACTGTTTTATACAATGATTGTCATGGTACGGGGTTTAGGACGTAGGCGAACAGATGGTAGGCGAAACGAACTGTAGGTGAAACGACCGTAATTTGTCAGTTCAATAATAAGCAGATCAGTCATTCTAACAATTTCATCTATGAGTCGCACTATACTGACCTCCCTCGTCTGTCCAGCTCTGTGCCGCACGAAAGGAACCATTTCCTTTCCGTGTATATCCCGCTACATATATAATGTACAGTGTATAAACTTCTAACTCTGTCACGTTCTTTTGGTTGATTAAGGGGTCGATTTTAAATACTGTGAAGTTTGATGTATCTGAATCGTCAGCTTTTTCTATCCGCAGCACATAACCCAGTAAAATCCCAGGGACACTTGCTGGCGTTAAAAGCTCCCATCGAACCATGATGCTCGATGAACTGCTATTGGATGCCGTTAATCGATAGGGAGGAGCTTTAAGAACTGCGACAACATGAGAATAAAATTAGGTTGGAATATGCTTGCCTCACTATACGATGAGCCGTTTGCCTCCACTCCACATTCATACAGAGCTCAGTTTGTTCGTCAAACCAAAAACACAATAAACACAAGGGCATTTCAGAATAACTGATAACACCATAAAAAGAAGGCAATGAGAACATAAGCGAAAACAAGTTGACTGCGTGAAGCGTAGGAAAAGGTGGGTGACTAAGATGTAGTTGGTTTTATTTTGTTACTTGATTAGTTGAGGGCGTGAGGACAACACGTAGCGTAGTGAATGGTAACGATGTTTCAACAGCTGGGTTAATTTTGAAGACTTTTGTTAACAAGAAACGGACCTTAACATCGATATGCATATTGTCCATACTGTTCTCTATACATTTTGACAATCAAGAACCTCTTTAGTTGGTGATCATTTCCCTGATTCTCGTTGTCATTTATTTTATTACATATTGTAAGAGGAAAATTGCTGCTTGTCACTCTAAGGGATCTAAGGGTCTGAGAGGATAGTACTCATCAAAGCTTTGAACTGGGAAGTCGAATGCATATGGTAAAGAATAGATAAGTAATAAAATAAATGACAATAATTCGATTGGTGTCACTGTACCGGAAAGAGACAGCTACTGTACATTTTCATCATAGTTAATCATACCTCCTTCGTCCGTAGAGACATTGAAAACAGCACTATATGGTCCTTTTTTGATAGTAAAAAAGGCTGCTTGCATGGAATACATGGTGTATTCTTCCAAATCCTCCAGTGTTACCCTGACACTATAAGTGGTGTTGGAGACTTCTCTATGTTTTCTCTTTGTCTGAGTGGGAAAGAACTCTGTTCGCACGGTAGAATTCACTGCATTGGCTTTAAAAATCTTTAAGACATAATGGCGGATGATTCCGTTGAGTTGCTCAGCAGAGTAGATTTGGAACTCGACCGCAATTGACGTAGAACTTATGTTGTACCCGGTCACGTTTGCCGGCGGGATGTCTGGGGCTTGAAATTTAAAGATAAAGAAGTCAGAAATTCAAATTTGTTCTTTTTTTGGACATTTAAGATTAATGAAATACTTCTGGCGTCAGAGGAAGATTATGGTTTGTAAAACTGATCATATCTTGCTCCCCACTGTTTTTTCCTTTTTTTTTTTTTAACGCTAGAGAGCTCAGCCTCCTGTCTTCATGGTGGTCATTGTTCATTTTGTGTTAGGAGGGAATTTTTTTTTCTCTTCGCATTAGTCACCAAGTGGGTATGGTTCCTTAAAGTAGATTCTGAATAATGAAGCACTCTTACTATCTTCGCTCGTGCGACATGTTATCGCACTCGTGAAATTTGATTGGCCTTTACTGTTAACTGCAGCTCCTTGGATGCTGTATTCTTGAAACTTGGACAAATTTCTTACTTCACCGCTCAAGCTTGATCCATCAAATTCTATCGTTCTTAGGTCACCTGTCAATAAGTTTGTTATGTTGAATACATATTTGCTGATTATTCCAAGACGTAAAGTTTCGGAGACTGGTTTCCAACTGATTTTTATACTTGTAGAGCTTGTGTTTTGAGCTGAAATGTTAACAGGGCTACCAAGTGGAACTGAAAGAAAAAAAAACGGTGAAAGAAATAAATAAACAAGTTTTAAAGGAGAAACGAGGGAACGAAGGAACGAAGAAAAATGATATGCAATAAAACGGCCAAAGGGCGACGAAGCAAACGAGTGAATAAACCAGCACATAATCAATGGCAAAATAAACTGAACAAAAAAAGGGAGATAAAAAAGCAATACACGCGTCACTTGAACCGATATGCAAAACAATGAAATATTTACTCACCGTCCTCATCCGTAAAGCACCTTACAATTTTGCTAAAATTTCCGCGCTCATTTGTGTCGAAGGTAGCCACCCTGATGTCGTATTCCATAAATTTCTCCAATGATGTTACAGTGGCATTCAAGATACTTTTGCATGTACGAAAGGTCCTCCACAGCTCAGATACACGGCCGCGAGGCCTGAAATGTAACTCGTAACCAATAATTTCGAGGCTGTTGACTTCGACAGACGGTGGCTCCCACTTTACCTCGATAGAAGTGGAACTGGTATTGCGGCATACCACATCGGTCGGTGGAAAGCGCATTACTGGAAGAAAAGTTATAAAAGGGAATGTATAGATACCAGGGCCTAATTTTTCAAAAAGCAGATGACGATATCTATAAATACGTTTTTTAAAAAACTAGCACTGGATATATATTAAACTAGAGAATGACATTAGCTTACCCTTCGCACCAATGGGGCCTTATCGTAAAGCAACTCAATTCTAGAGGTCTTAGAAGGTCAGCCAAAAGCTTGAATGTCCTATTTTACCATGACTGATACACGTTCTTTCATAATTGCGCTTCTCCGTTACTTTTGAATTTCTTTCTAAGGAGCTCCTTGTTTTTTTATTTCATTTTATCAAAACCCCGTTGTATATCAAAACTGCCCTGATTAAAGAGGTAGCTGTTATCGGCTGATGAGCTTGGTGTCCATCTTTAACAAAGAGAACCCCAGGAGATGCTCCCTTTGACATTCTGTACAAGTAGGGATTTCATGAGTTGAAGCGTAAGAAAAGTTTCGGGAGTCAATTATTTATGATTTCAAAACAGCCTTTGATATTCGCCCTTGCGTTATTTAAGGGAAAGATCATTTAACAAAAGGATGCAGTACGCCCATCAATGTTTTTTAAAGGCATTCGGAAGAGTAGGGAATGAATCTCAAGGAAAGGGAGGGGAGAGGGAGACAGGATCTTATTTTCCAGCATAGAAATATAGTTTGTTGGCCGGGAGAGGGGAAGAGAACGAACCTGGCTATATACCATCGCATATTGAACGCGCGTTTGAGCGAGGATTGTTAACTATACTGACGCAAGCGGAAACAAAATTTAGCAATGTTTTGTAATTCAGGGCTTTGACATTCTAATTCGTAGCGCAAAGAGCTAATTCGAGCTGCCCATACGATCAGTTCAAGTTTACTTACACCCCGCTGTCGTGAAGTATTTAACGTCACTCGTATTCCCCATATCTATTCGTAGGATGCGTTGTACATAAAACTTATACTTCATTGACGATTCAAGATTACAGATCTCCACCCAATGTGTCGATGCATTTACTGTCTTGTTCAAAGAAAACGTTGGGTGGCTGAACAAGGCATAGAACACACGATAGCCATCAAATGCAGCAAATTTCTCAGGTGAAAGGCCGCCCCACTGAACGTGAACACAATTTGATTTCCCTTGTTCTACCGATACATTTTCAGGCGGATCGTCTGTGAAATAAGAATTTTGAATTAAAAAAAAAAGTGGTAAGTACATGTGTATTTGGGATATGTTGAGTTTTATATCGAGCAGAGCACATTTTTTCGTTCATTGAAAGAGCACCCTGAACACGAAACATTCAGAAATACTACAACCAAGGGTGATCATGGGCCATCTTTGAAGACCATTTATAAAGAACAGTGGACAATAACGAAAACTTCCCCACGTTCACCCTTTACACCGTAGTATTAGTGTTCATATTCTCCACACTGTTCTACTTACATTTCCTATGGTTTTGACAGGGAAAATTTGTTGGACACTCAGGAGCTTCTTTAAAATTTGTGATCATTTCCCTTATTCCTTATATTTGATTCTAAGGTGATATTGAAAGGAGAAATTTGAAGCCAGTCACTCTTAGGGGCCAAACGGTTAAACGAAATCTAAATAGCGAAACAAATGATTTAAGATAATTGGGAAAGGATAATTTGATTAATAGCAGAGCTCAAACGCGCACAGCGTAGCCCCATACTTATTACTCTACCTAAAGTGGTGGTTACAGAAAGACTCTCGCTTTCCCTTCCAACTCCACTCTGTGTGTATCCAGCCACAGTTAGGTTATATGTTACCAATGGTTCTAGTCCTTCTATAGTAACGAAGTTAACGAGGTCATTTACGGTGGTAACTATGACGTCTGCGCTTCCCGCTGGTCTGATGAAAACCTTATAGCCCTGGAATATGGCGGAAATACTCGGTGGGAGGCTAAGATTGTTCCATCTGATGTGAATTCTTGTATCTTCCACAAGAAACACGCTTACATTTGTAGGGGCAACTTCTGGAACTGAAGGAAGAAAATGTAAAGCTAGTGATACCGCTGATTATAATTTCTTCACATTTCTGCCACGTTGAATTGAGTGCCGGTCCTGATTGGACTTTCCATGAAAAAAGTCAGCGTAATCCAAGTCAAAAGTTTTAGAACACTCTTCTTTGCAATATCTACTTCTTTCATGCTTTCGAAAAGTGATTTATAAGTGATATCGTCTTGACGAAAGGATATAATGTTCTGCATCAAACTATCGCTGTCGGAGTTAAATTATTTTAAATTGTAGTTACTTGAACTATTTTAAATCTACTGTTGCTGGCGTTGCATCAGTTTCTCTCAACTGCTCTTGGATTGGTCAAAAACACTCGTTCTACCATCTCATCCAATCGGATGCACTATTATAGCCAATGGCAAGCTAGCAAGTTGCTCGCATTTTCTTGGTTCAATAAGTTGTTATTTTTAATACTCAATGGCCTGTTGTCATCTCTTTCCTTTTTATTTTGTCTGTTGAAGCACTTTCATTAGCTGTAATTTTAAAATGCCGCAAAATGTATATCAATGTAAGCTATGCTTCGTGACATAAGAGGCGGCAAATAGAGCAAGTTAGCCCCAAGGCGTTAAAACATTAGCACACTTCGACCTTCTACCTCTAAAGTAAAATTTTACAGGAATTTTGAGTTGACTAATGCAACTGTTAACCGTTTTCAGCTGTAAGTTCTTCCAGCTCCAGAGGCATGTTGTACAGAAGACCCGTGGATGATATGCTCTGTTTAAGTTTTTCAATCCATCTGTAGTCGCTAACGTTATAAACGATGGTGAAATCTACAATCACGCTACCGTTCCTACATGGAAAAATAAAAGTATCAGTATCCTGGCCGGCAGACCCCTTCTATTCGCCAAAATTTGGACTAGCATTCCAACCAAGTGGGAGTAGTGCTCCAAGTAGCCGCTTCATGCGAGGGAAACCTGGAGGGCCACTTGGCTCGAGTACAGAATTAATCCTGTTTACCCTATCCTAGCCGGCAGCCTCCTTCTACTAGCCAAAATTTAAAGTTGTACCTATTCAAATAAGTAAATAGCATGCACACGTGTGTGTAGAGAAGCCATACGAACCTAAATTCGTTTACGTTAACAGAAACCCGGACTCCCTCATAAAACCTGGTGACCTATGAACAAATGAAATAGGGAATTAAATAGAATTATAGGAAAACCGTGCATTGTGTGACGATTCAAATGAAAGCTTCTGCGTTGCACTTTTATGCATAACGTAATGTTTTCTAAGCGGCATGTGCAAGATTGCATTAGCTTTAAATTCTTTTGATAAACGCGAGTAGATAACCATACAAATTGTTGCTAAGTAACAACACTTTCACGAGGTACGAGGCTCTTTAATTTAGAATGGGGCGGTTTTTAGTTCAACTCACATTGCTTATGATGTAATTCTTCATTGATCTGTATGGATCTGTTTCTGGTGAGGTAAGATCTTCATTCCAAGGCTGATTTTTTATTCGAGCCACAACTCGGCAACGTAGCGGAACCAAATCTGCAGTGAAATTTGGGTTAGGAATCTAATAATGGGCATTGGCTAGACACGGAAGAATTTATTTCCATGTTTTGGTTTACTAAAATGAAAACTTCGAGCTGACAGAATAGAGGTGGCAAATTTTCGTCCCAACTGCCTCATTCCACAAATTTAAAAGCTTAAAAAGTATGTTTCCTCTATGGATCCATACAAAGTAATGATTAAGATAGCATATGATTGTTGTGTTATTTCTCTCTTTTTTTTTTTCTTTTCTTTTTATTCAGAATACTATTGATTTTCTTTTATTTGAAATATTCCTGGGATTAAAGGGTTCGTTATGAAAGGACTCAGTTCACCAAAGCCACAATGTAGGTAGAAAATGAAGTACCACAGGGCTAAGAAAAAGAGAGTCAAAGATAAAAAAAAGACTGTTTCCTTGTTATGCTATTTAATGTTTTTTTTCTGCACAAAAATTTACATAAATCAAAATGAAATTAGGAAAAGAAGAGGAAAATAAACTTTTAATTTTTTCATGGTTTTCTCGTTTTTGATGCAATGTCACAAGCGAAAATTGAAAGCAGTACAGGGAAGAAAGATGGAAAAGACCGAAGACAGAACTAAGAAACATGACATCAAAAATCAAAACGAAGGAAGACATAACCGCAGCTTGAAATATATGAAAAAAAAATTAATAGAAAACAAAGACCAGAAAATAATAATCGTATTATATATAAAAACAAGAAGTGCCGTGACCAGGATTCAAACCTGGGTTATTGCGGCCACAACGCAATGTACTAACCACTATACGATCACGGCTACCACTGCTGCTCACAGGTGCTTTCAGGTAAAAAATTATTATCAGATTACTCGCATGACTAGTACTTGTGACCATTAATATTCATAGTATTTCATATTATTTCGAAACAAAAAATCAGCATTCTTCGAGAGCACCAAGATAAAACAAAGAAACAAATTATAAAGAAATATCAAAAATAAAATAGAGTATTTATTGGGGTAGAAAGAGATCCTCTCACCTTGGATGCCGCGATAAATCTGTGCTATTCTTTCTTCAGACAAAACCTGTCTCCAAATGGCAATGAGAAAATAATGAGCCTTGGCGAACACTCCTCCTTCAGAGCCCAATGACATATTAGACGAAGAAAACTCTGGCTTCCCGTCCATTTCACAACCTTCATCTCTGACAAATTCATCGATTCTTTTCCCGTTCCTATAAATTGTAAGTGTTTTTGGCCCAGATGGTTTGTACGTGAAAGCCAAATGAGACCAGATTTTTTCAGGCATCGCTATTTCTTTCAGACAATACTGAGCACTACCCTGCACACGGATAATCAAGGATTTCTTCCCTCTTTCCTGATAAACAATGAACTTGCCGCGGGATTTGAAAAAAGTCTGTCGCGCTCCGTCGGTTTTGTACCAAGGCTTTAATGACAACGATACGGTGAAACCAGGATCATCACAATTGGCATAAGCAGACTTTGTTGCGCAAGTGTTCCCCTCATGGTTCAGTAGTACCTCACCGTTGACTCCATCTGTCACCAAGCCATCGCCAGAAAAACTAACTCCTCCCTTAATTTGCCCCCAGCCAGGTGCGCGGAGATCTTTGATATCTTCCACTGATTCAAGCAACCACAGATGGGAAGAATTCTCGTAAAACTTTACTGAAACGACAAGATAAATTGAATACAAATTTCAGTAACGATGCATAGAAACGATAAAGATGATGGTAATAACACTCCACGTGACGTTGAACCTTCGAAAAATTAGCTCGAAGCTTATTTTCAGATGCAGGGTATATGGTTTTTGCTTGCGCTATCATTAATGATCAACTTAGGATGAAAAATCGTTTATCCAAAAATTTGTAAACAAAATCCAAACTCCCATACAAAGAGAGGCATAATGCATGATTAAAAGTTTCCAAATGACAACAGTGGCAACGCAATGTAAGACTGGATCCTTTTTTGATAGGTAGTGTTCATAACCGTAATGATCACTGTCATCTTCACTAATCTCAGTTCTATTATATGCATGTAAACAAACCTTTCTCGCCTCGACAACATATTGAAAAGCCAAAAAACCAAAACAACAAAAACCAAAAAGTACTGATGAGTAAAACTGTGAATACGATAAATATTTCTGATTCCACTCACTTTCTCTCACTTACTTACCGAGTTGACATAATTCAGGATCCTTGTTTGTACATTGACAAATGCCTGTTATTTCGTCACAATAATGGTAAAATGGACAATGATCAGAGCACAGGGACGCTTTAAGAAAAATGATGAAAAACTACATGAATAATAAATTACTAGAAAGTACAACCTCGTTTACATTATCTCGCGTTCATGACCAAAGAGGCAATATTTCTCTTATCTTGACGAACTAGTTAAAATCTTACCATTATCTATTCTTTCCACACACCGGCACCTGCCATGTCCTGTCCTGTTGTCTGCTGAGCCCCTATTATATTTAGCCTAACACCTCGCCCAATATACTCTTCACTTCCATCTATATTCCCTGATGATGACGTAGATCGGCGAAGGCTCGGTAAACTAAATTATCGTAGCATACCTGGCCTCACTTGATTTACACGTCTGACTTAATAAGAAAAATATTTCCCTTTTATTGGACGAAAAAGCAATGCAATGTTGAAGGACAGTTTGAAATGTGGGTAGCTCAAGAAAACATGTTGTTAGCTTGAACCCATGGAGAAAAACCAGGCCTAAAATTTTTAAATCGGGGCATTATAGAACAGACTGACAAAATCATTAATCACAGTCTGCTCCCAGAGTACATGTCGGCGCCAGTGAAGGACTATTCTTATGCATGTGCTCCCTATGTAATTATGTCATGATCAATCATTAGCAGTTTAAAAGACGGAATTAAAATCCATCAGAAATCCTACCTCCCTGAGCTCTAAATAACACCTCCACATCGTTAACATTAAAATTTGACGCCCCAGCAAGCAGAGTTTCCAGTTTGGATCCCTTAAAGTTTCCATCTCCTTTGTAAGAAACAGCGTGTTGACTCGTCCCTTGCTTCATGTCGCCATCGATTCCTATCTGAAAATCAAACGGAGACTCTCCGAAGGTTGGACCAGTGAACGGTGAGCTGTAGATTGCAAAGGCCGATGATTCTTCGCTTACTTTTTTTTTGAAGAGGGTCCTATCAGATGTGTAGTTTAATAAGAAGATGAACGCTTTGGTGTCCGTTCTGTAGTTCGAGGACGAACCTGTACACGGAGATTGATATGTGCCTTAACCCTACAGCTGTCCGACTTTTGCTGGCCTACAAAGGCGTGAACATTGCGCCATATGGATTTATGGGGAAAGGCCGTTTACTGTTACGCTAATTTCATCTTTTTCCCCTAAAGCTTGGAGGTTTCCTGAATTTTTGGAATCAAATTCTTACTCTACCCCTTCAAGGGAGAAAGAGTTTCATTAAAGGATCAATGAAATACCATTACTTAGTATGAAAGTATATGTACAATAGTACTTGGGAGTATGTATGTCAATGCCATTACGGGAAAAAGGCGAAAAACAAAAGTATCCTGCTTATCAGAATTTTTGAATTTCGGGGAAATACTAAAATGTTTCCTATAAATGGAATAGTTGTTTACAAATCATGTAGATGAGGTTTGTCGGTTACTTCAAAAAGATCGTAGCAACCTCAGGCAACTTACTTTGACGGAATATCCCAGGGTGGCCCACCCGAAGGGATTCCATGTTTAGGGGAGAGAAATCTTATATAATACAGGGATTACTGTCAAAGGGAACCAACAGTTTTAATGAAAGGATTAAGGATAATGGCTGATTAGTTGAAATTATCTATTGGTAGAAGCTTCTCGAGGGAACAATATTGAATGTGATATCTTTTAGGGGTAAAAATGGATCATCCTGGAGTTGTAGCTGGTAGAAATGGCTGTTTATGAGAAATAGCAAAGGGGCACAGTAAAACTGGTTAACAGCACAAGGTGCGAATAGGATCCTGAATACGTACACGAAGACGGCTCCACAATCCTCAGCTCTCCCTCAACTTTGCTCCTAAGGTTGCTCCACTGGATCATATTCCCCGGTTCACTTTTACAACCGCGTGCTAACATTGTGATTTTTTCTTCCTCCAACTCATGGTCCCACATGTTAAACTGAGTAATTCTGCCAGAAAATAGCTTGGATGAATCTTTGTTCGGCTTCCTTCCGATAAATAGAGTAGCCGAGCTTAACACAAGGGATTCGTTCCAATTGTTTTTAGTTTGTCTTCCTCGGTTCACACCATCTGAGAATAACGTCCACGATTTTGAACTGCCATGCCATACAACCGTGATATGATGCCAAGAGCCATCGTTAATCACAAAGGAGATGCTGCCTTTGTTGGTACTGCAAAAAAGGAGTGAAAAATGAGATAGATGCAAGTCAAACGCAAGGCTTCATGTGGAAAGGAAAAAAAAAACGATATCGCACGCCCGCGTAACGTAGAAATTGTGGCATATAATTGACGTATTCTGAAACTTTTTTCATGAGAGAACAGCTAAAAATTTTTTGTCGGCATAGAAATTGTGGCATATAATTGACGTATTCTGAAACTTTTTTCATGAGAGAACAGCTAAAAATTTTTTGTCGGCACAAAACAGCAACATACGTAGCTGTCGCCGTTTATCCCAGTTTGCATACATACAGAAGCCAGAAATATTTCTACTCTCCCTTCCCTGTTGTTAGACCGCAACTAAACAACATTTAGCTGGGTTTCTCTGGCAACTCACTGGTACCTATTAATACAACCAACAAACAGTAAGTTCAGTCTCTTTCATAGCCGTCTTTTCATGTCGTCAGCTAATGCGTTACTCATCTGATCTCCCTTTAGTCTTGAACAAAATAATGAGGGAATTTCAACTTACCTGCATTTATCAACGGAACTGATCCAACAAAGAGAGAATGAGTCGGTAGAATCCAGTTTTAAATGCATGCGGCTGCCTGTTTGCTTAATAGAGAACACTATTAATGGTGACTTAACTGAGGTTTTAATCCAAAACGAGGCTGTGAAACTAGAAATTGGCGATGACGTGAGAGGTAGTATAGCGGTTTTGACACAGTCCGCAACGTTTTTGCGCCAAAAATGGAAATCATAACTGGAGTGGTCATTGTCCTGGCCTGAAAATTCATAACGTAAACACATTTTGTTACAATGACACCACAATAATAGAGTACAACATTGCAACGCGAGCGTTTAATGGCGGTCATTTAGCGGTCATTTAGTTTATTCCATTAGTATCTCTCTCCACCAAGGAGTGGATAAATGCTGGGAGGTTACGTGGGACTTGCATCCCATCCAAGGGGAATAACAGTGCTCATAACCTCCCCCTAGAAATTGGAAATGGGAGTAGTTCTCTGGCAGCGAGGGCAAAGGCTGACAGCCTGAAGGTCTTATAGGTTCAGTGGTCTCATACAGCATTTTAAGCTACATTAGCTTCTTTGGGTGCTTTTTTGGTGTATTTTTAATGGCTCTAAAAATGATTCAACAATTACTGTTTTAAAAGAGGGCCAAAAAAAAAATCTTCATGAAGTACCTTCACTCCATCTTCGTTCAGTAAAGCCCCCAAACACGTTATTTCTTTTTCTGATTATGGTCATGGTAGGACCTTTATCGTCACAGAGCCTGTGAAAGGTAGAAACGTTCCAGCCATTATCAAGAGCGCGGTAACAAGGAATCCAACGGGAAGAGCCATAACCTTCTTCTTCCACCATCAAACCAAGATATTGATGGTAAATAGTGTCCATTGAAACTATAGAGGAGGTGATAACTACGAAAAATGAAGTCACGAGAACAGTAAAAGTGTGTTAAAGACGCCAGAATTTTTAGGCCATTTTTATTTATTTTCATGACAAGCCTACATACAATTTTGTATAAGCTGCCATGGGTTCTTGAGTATACATTATTTCAGGGATTCAGTAGTTTCGCTTTGGAAAAGAAGTTCTAGTTTAGGAGGCTGACTCTCACATGAAAAAATATCTTGAATTTTCCATGGAACAGAAAAACAAAGAGAGGATAAAGTGAAACCTCACTGAAGAGCAGCGATAGAAGGAATTGCAAGAGAAAAGCCTGAGGAAATTCAGGCTTTGAGGGATTCGTACCCAAGTCTTAAAGATAATACTTGGGCGCTACTATTAACTGAGCTACCACTTGTTAGGAGAAAGTCAACTTTTAGGAGGTTCTTCGTTCCCGGAACATAATCTCACTAAATAAGACGATGCAAACATCAGAAATGCAGTGAAAATAGAGCAACACGTGACTTACCCACTCCTGAGCGATACGAATTCTGGGGCATTGCTGAAAAAGGCGAGAAGACACACGACTCTCTGGTAAACACAATCTGATCTATTGCTAAATCTCCTAAGTGATCTGGACCACCAACCGCTTCAAAAATGACCTAAGACGGAATATACGCACTTGTTGAAATATCTATATTCAGGTCGGCTTATGTTAGACTCACAAAATTTGGGAGACTTCTGGACAATTTTTCGAACTCAATGGGCAGTCGTGGGCTAGCAGGACTTTCTCGAATTCTCTCAACACCCCTTGTGTTTCAGTGAAGCTAGACAGGAAAATATAATTTGGCCACCGGAAAATTTTTTTAAAGTTGACGTTTGGATGTTTAGAGCGTTAGCCCTTCGTCTGGGCAAATGGTCTACAGGAAAAGTCCTGTCACTCGTTTTTATGAGAAATTTCTCTAAAAAACCTATCAACCGCATTCAAATGCTCTCATCTAAACGCCACTATCGACCAATGAGAGTACGTGTAGTATCTTAACTGCTTTCTAAACAGGTAAAAGCAATGGCCAAAATGGAGCTAAGGCCTAATTGGTCAGTGGTTAACACTTTCATAGTGTAACAATCGAAAAAATGTACCTGATATTGTTGATGAATACCGTTGACTGGGATACTGGCCTCTCTCCATATATTGTCCTGTTCTCCAAAGAGCCTCCACAGCAATTGTTCTTTACCCCTGATATCTGTCGTATAAACATTTAGCCTCCCTGTATGCATACCAGTCATATGATAATGAAATTTCAGACACGTATGAGAGTGGATACTGTAGGGAGTAGAAAACCTGGCTTTTCCTTTAGATTGCGAGGCATCAAAATAAATATAGCGACCTGTAGACAACAAATAAACAAAGAAACCAGTTGTAACACACTGAACGAAGTCAATTATATGGTACCGATTGATCCTCATGAAGAGACAGCTCGCACCGAGCGAAATCTGTCGTTGTTTTTTTGCTTCATTCTGTTATGCAAATTTTACATTTTTCATGGTAAGGAAAGTGAGCCCTTATTTTGTTTCCCTGTGACAGTCAAGACGTTGCCTCCCTGACTATCCTGGTATTGACCGTTTGAAACAAAATAAAGTTAACTGAGGTTCAAGATAAATTTGTGCATCAGTTTGGAGGCTTTATAGAAAATTCCTACGTTTACGTTTTGTTCCCCTCGCTGTTTGGCTTTTGCCATACAATAGATAAAATCCCTCCAAACGCAAGCCATTCAATGCTTCGATGCACGGTAAAATATGGCCCGTTCCAAGCTAGTTAAAAGCAGCACAATCGAAAACTGCGAGATTTAGTGGAGGAGTGGAAAAACGTAATCAGGTAAAGCTGGAAATTATCTGAAACAAAAACGACAACAACAGCAACAAAAAACAAGCAAGAACAAAGAAGTAAACAAACAAGTGTTCATGATACCTCCTCTAGAAACATCGTCGCATGGCCCAGTACCCGACGTTTTAGTGCATCCTTGGTGTAGTTTCCAGGAACTGGTGCCATCTAGTAAAGATTTCCAGTCTCTAGAGTTATCGTCAAAGTCGAAATGAACTAGGAACAGTAGAATGATGATATCAAGAGTAGATTAAACAGCAAGTAGACAGCTATTTAATTCAACATGTTTAGTAGGTTTTAGCAGAAAAACTGAAGCCGATCATGATATTTTCATTTCCATTCTCTCGCTCGAAGCAGTGTGCATGTTTTTACTTTATCTACTTCTTGTTATGGAACTCGAGCGAGAAGCGCTCTATGCTCTCCTCGGTAGTATGAGACCTTCTACCCGATGGAATATCAGTCTGTAATAAACCTTTAAGTTTTCTTTGACAAACTGCCAATACTAATACATTTGTCCTGAACTGATTAGTCTCCATGACAATTGGCAGATAAGAGGTTTGAAAAGGAGGGAATACGTTCAATGAAAGCTTGCGGTTGTGAAAACTATAAACAAACCTTCAGACTTGCGTTTAATTTGCTCTTTGGTCATCGCCATTCCCCAAACCGCGACATCATCAATAGAAGTCGCTCTGCTCCACCCACCTCCATTCTCCTTTGAAGCTATGAGAAGCTTGAACGGTTCATGGTCAGGGGAAACGCTCATTTGCATTGGATTCTTATGTGATGCTACCAGATTACCGTTGACATAAAATTTTAGACCCTCTTGAGGCTTCCAGGTGACAGTGGCTTCGAACCATTGGTTTACAATCAATTTATGGCGTATTTCCCATCGATAGTTTTCTTTGGCGAAGAAAATGTGGTATCGCCCACGTCGGACGATGAAACATAGGCCATTCTTAAACCAGCAGATGCCTTCAAAAGGAAATCGTGGCAAACGAACATACGATAACTCATAGGTAGCAACCAACAGCATTCCTATTCTAGTGAGGGTCAGTTACATAGTTAAATTATCAATTTCTGTCATCCAGTTTCCTAACATTTTTGTGATGCATCTAATTCTTTTCAAAAAGATCTTGAATTGATAAGATGGCAGAAGCAACAATCACGCAGTTCATGACTTGTGTCAGCTATTTGCTTAAGAATTCGTGGTGTAAGTGATAAAGTTGAGATTATTCTAAGGTTTTTGATGCAATTCGTTATGGCATAACCGTCATTCATCTGAATCGCAAACATATATGGAAAGCACCAGTGCTGGAAAAGTTTAACACAATCTGCATTAAGAAAAAAAAAACCCCACGCCAGTATAAGTCGTCACGACAGAGGCCAAGTCGAAAGCAAAAAGGCTACCTTGATTAGTGAAAATTATCAAAAATGTCCTTTTCTTGTTTCTTTGTTTAGCGCTATATTTGGTAAAGAATGTACAGAAAGCTTGAAAATTGTATTGGATGACTTACTATTGCTCGAATCTCTTCTACCATACAATTCCATTCGCAATCTGCAGTCCATATTGCACTGAGTGATATATACTCGAAAAAATCTTCCATATATGGATGGAACCAACCAGTTTGTACCTGCCATGTGTTGATCTGAATTTGCATCATATTCCTAAGATAGAAAATGTCGCGCTAAGAGTTATTTAGGAATAAACCTTTTTGCGGTTTCAGATCTTAGCCACTCAAAAATAAACTCAATTTCCCAAAAGATTCAAGAATCATTTAAAAAAAGCTAACAGGGACGGGAGATAGGGGACGAGAAGCAAAGTTTCCTAGCACATGACCCTTCCGTCCCGCATTCCTTGTTCGGGGAAACGGATGGAAATAAAGATGTGAAAAGGGGTAATGCTACCTTTACTCCATTGTTATATTCAAAATACTTCCAGTCATTTCCTTCATAACTGTACGCAATTTGATATTTCGTTGGCCACTGGATGTGTGTTGGCCTTCCTTGGGTTGCAATACATGTTACTTCTGTTTCTTCCTTTAAATCGACCTTAGAAATAAAACGTATCACAATCAGCTCGAATGCATGAAATCCTGACAAGGCCACAGCACCCTTAAACTTCCAATCGAAGTATTCAGGGTAATAAAGGAATTTAATATTACCTTCTTAATCAGCGAGAAGTGAAAAAGAAAGAGGGAGTAAAATTGTTCTCAGTTTTATCTCAAGAAATAAAACTTCCTCCCCAGCACCCTAACCTCCTACTTCCCTTTCCTTACCTCCTTTCACAACAGACCAACCCGAGACTGACTAAAGATTAACAAAGATCGCAAAAACCAACTTGATAATTTGGCCTGCACTTGTTCAGGAACACTTATCAACGATGATTACCTGAAACCAGATTCCCTCGAACAAATGGACTGGATGCTTGTAAGGTCCCCAGGAACTTGCCCCTTCCTCATCGTGGTTTAGCCGACCTTTGTTTGGCCAAAAGTAATCTTGTTTGTATTTATCAGAAACTTCGGTTGAGGATGCTGTTAGTTGTTCATCTGGAACTACCGTCCGATTTTCAACTCCATGAGGCTGAGAGCAACCTTAAAGAGAAAGCGAGACACGAAGAATTGACCTGTACTCTTAAGCTGATTGAAAGCAACTTTAAAGAGAGGAATTTGCGACCTATTCATTGATAGTGAAATTGCAAATTTAAATTCAGACAGCTAGCTCAGATAGCTTAGGTAGTTATCTCAGGCTTTTTAAAATTACTGGCCAATTTAATATCATTGATAACATGAAAATTGAATAAAAGTGTGCATATTTATGGAAAATTAAATGGCTTAAGAGCTTTTTTTTTCCATTTTTTAATCTCATACACAAACCTGCATCGTAGGAATAAAGTTCCATTTTGATGCACTGTACTCTCGTTTCAGTAAGATAGAATCGAACCTTGACGGCTTGGAAAGATGGAATGAACGCTTCCTTCATCAAAAACCCAGCTGATGGAAAATTGAAGCGAAGTACCTTTAAAATAAATTACATGGGTGATACAGTTATAAAAGTAATAAATTAAACTTTCAAAATGTTTTCAGACATTATGGTCTAATTATCTAAACAAAGTTTAGCCGTTATTCAACAAAACCCTGTCGTAAACGATATTCAGTTAAGTTGAATCTTTTTGTCTAAACATTTCTTTTTGTGATCAGTGCTCAAAATGCCGAAAGCTAACGACGGAAGGACATTTATTTAATTAAATTAAACCTCTTTTGGAGAAAGATTAGGGCCCACTGATTGCGTAAAGCCATGGCTTTGGTTGGACCTCGTGTAAATAACCGGCCTCCATAATTTATTTTGCGTTATTCCAGTATCACCTTTGGTGATATTAGAAGAACGTAAGAACAACCAATCAAAACGAAAGAAAAATGAGAACAAACCAAGAAAAGTCGAAATAGATACAAATGAACTGTCCGAGGCGCTAGAAAATGTGAGTGACTCTGTCGGTTTTAGATTTGACTCTGATTGGTTGAGAGGCTGGTTTGAGTTTCCTGAAAGATCACAGAACGCTAAAGCAAAACTAAATCAATCCTGTAACAATTTCAAAGCTCCCCATGTATTTACCTTCAAATAAAAGAAAGAACGAAAAACAAAAAAGTGGAAAAAAAACAGCAAAAAATTGAAAAGCACAGGCAGCTGGGGCTAAAAAAGAGCTTTTCAGGCGAAACCGAAACACGAGAGCCTGCGTGCAGGCTCAATAGACGGCAGTAGGAGGTTTTATGGCCAGCGGTAGACCGCGGTTGTCCTGTGGCTCCGTGACAAATAATAGGAGGCCTTATAGGCGGCAGTAAAAGATTTTTAACCCCTGCAACAAAAGCAACAAGCAAACCTTAGAAATTTCTTTTCCGTCAATCTCCTTGCTATACTTTGTCCAACTGGTTCCATCCTTAGTCTTTTCATACTGAACTTTCAATTCCGATACGTCCACGCCTCCACCAATCGATTGCAGAGCCACGTGCGTCAGGGTGTATTGTTTTCCCAAGAACACTTCCAACCATTCATTAGGGCCGGTTGAACACCACGCCTTCGAGTCGCGTTGCTCGTTTAAGCGAGCAAGATAAGGACCAGTGCTGTTATTGAGTTGTGATGAGCTACTCAGGTACTTGTCGGGTAATATTTGATTTTCTAGACCTAATGGCGTAGAAGGAACTAAAGGGAGAGAGACACACAATGCATTAGCTTATCTCAAGTCGCTTAAAAAATCTCCATGAGTCGCTTCATGTTTCGGTCAAGCTTTTCTCGAGTCGCCTTACGAAATATTTACCTTCGAAAGAAACAGTTGTATAGCGCATGTGACGAACCACTCAGCTATAGTTTTCGAGTATCATTTGATTTTATGAACGAATTGTTTAGATAGAACTAAATAAAGCGGAAAGCTCGATATTGCCGCGACTTATCTTAAGCCTCAAGTCACCCTAACTCGCATAAAATCCCTTGAGTTTTTACCTGATTATTGACTATCCAAAAAGAAAGTCGAGCTCATTTATATTTTGTTTTATCCATCTTTAATGGCTATTAGACAAAAGCCAACAAATTGAAAGGTTTAAATCGATTAATTTTATCGGAACTTTTTTCCTATGAGGTCTCAGAGTGTTCCTCGAGTTTACTCAACGACAAAACTAATCTTTTGATACCTTTTCAGCACTAACTCACCATGGTAATAAAAAACTTCCACTTGGTTTGGATAAAAATGCTGAGAGCCCGCTAAGTAATAACGAGTTTCATGAGAAGGCAATGAAACATTCCTCAGATCAAAAGAAGCACCCAAACTGCTGTATCCCATGATTCGGCCATTTTTGTCTTCAAAGAGCTCAAGTTCCCTTTCTCCAAAACTTGGACCAAGCAGTGGATCTGTTCTTCCGGATGCGTAGCCATGCTGGATTGATAGGACTCGAGGGGCCAGGTTAAACGGGTTTGACAGGCTGAACAGGAATCCTTCTATCTGACGTCCAATGTCTGCTGGTTTTCCTAAGAACAAGACGAAAATACAATTTGATAAAGCATGAGCGTTTTTATCTGGTCCCTTTTTGCTACATTGGTTAGTCATGTTTTTTACATATTCATCATTAATTTACCATCATAAATATTATACAAACACATTCTTTAGAATCTGTAGGCAATAAATCGTTTAAAAATCATGAAACTATTTCCAGAGTACTTGATTCCTATGGAAGATGCTTGTTAGAGGGTGCATGCACGCTCTTGTTTGATTAAGTATATATTCATTTGTTTATCCGTGCAAGAGAATAGTTTTAGTCTTTTAGATGATTTCGCTCTTCAGATATGGCAGCGTGCGCCTCTTTACTGCTTTGTAAAACACGGCACAAACGACCTCGTTTGCATTAACGACACGCGCTACGACAGTGCCTCTGGGCTTTCAGCCAAACATGAGTTTTTGAACAACTTACGTAGTTCTGACCCCCAAAAAGATTTTTATATTATTAAAGAATGCCTACCTCCCCAACTCTGGTCAACAAAGCCTCCAAAAACATATTCTCGGACACGTATGATAGTTAATGTTGGTCCCCTATAATCGCACTCGGTGTGAAATTCTTTAGTGCTCCAGGATGACTGGTTAGCGTAGTAACAACGTTTCCACGTTGCATGGTCACGAAGGAAATCAGGAAATGCTTTGCGGAGCACCTCAAGAGATTTGAAGTCATCCTTAAGTATGTTTGAGGCTAAAGCTGAAAGAGATTAGAGAGAAAACACAGATTTTAAAGGAAGTTCCCTACCAACCATATAAATAAATTCCAGAAAGAAAAAAAAAGGTTCGAATTTTGCCCAAGCTAGCGTTAGTAGATATCCCCAGGTCGCAGAAATGTCTCCGATAACTGGGATTGACTTCTTGGAGAAATATAGAAATACAAAGTTTGAAGGGGAGGTTTGATGTAGTTCAACATTGTGTCCTAAGCAATTTAAGATAAGGTTTGTTTCACTTACGTTTTTCCTTACTTGGCTTTGCTATAAGTCTAAAAACATGTGTCACCTATATGTGCTACAAAAATTGATGGAAATTAATATCAATTCAGCTTGGCTTTATGACGAAGGACTAACGCTGGCCCGGTCAATAAAATAATTATCTTGTTTCACCTCTCACTGACGCAGCAACACAGTTTCTAACTCCCTAATAAAAGAATGTTTTCCGCGAATTCACTCGGCTTTGCCTACCTCTCGTTCACATGGTTGTCTGTTTTATGTCTCTTATTTCTATTGTAAACATTTTTTGCCCTTTTTTGTCCATTATTATCATTCACTAGTTGCCAAATGGCGATAAGAGGTATCCTCGATCAATTTCATTGGGATTAAAAGGAATTATGAGTGATTACAAGCATTTACATTTTTTAAAGAATTTACAACTTGACATGGCATGAAATGGCACCCATCTAACCCACCTGTCTGCCTGGCTGAGAATGAAACCGTAAATCCATTTTCACCACTGAGTTCTGAGCTCAAATTTTCCGCCTGAAACTTTCCTTGATCTTCGATCACAAAATATTTTTGGTCAGCTGATATCTGGGCTCCAGTTAACTCGGCGCGGTGATTTTTGTTCTCGTCGAAGCTTTGCAAGTAACTTAATTGGTTAAAGTTCCAATAATACATCTCTAGAACAGACAGAAAAAAGGATGATGGCGGAAGAAATAATTTCAATTAGAAATATCAGATGACATTCTTTAGTTTTTTGTCAAGATATCCACGAATTCACTAGTAGAAGAAAGCCTCAAACGAAACAAAAAACAAAACAGCTAGCAAAAAAATGAAGAAAGGAAGAAAGAAAAAAAAGAGAAATATATCATTAAGACTGTCCGCCCTAGTGGTAAGGGTAGCCCTGAACAGAAATCCTATAATCTGAATGAAAGCCATTCTCAGTGTCAAGTGACTCTGGAGTCAGATGCTTTCACTGTGATTTTGAGAAAAAAGGCACAATGAAAAGTACACTCCGCAGGGGTGAGATGCATTGAAAAAACGAGCTTACTATGGATAGGCGTCTGTGTGGTTCTGTTCCTTAGTACAAATGCTTTGAAGCTACAGAGAGTAAAACGAAGCAGATTGTTTTCTGATTTATAGAAGAACGAATATTCGACGTCTAATTATTTGCTTCGTCAGTGGCGCGTATTTATAAGTGTTACATAAAAAGACTACGATAATGCACTTTAGAACAATACCTTTTTCTCTGCACGCAGAAAAGGGAACGACCTGTATATTTCCCACCGACATGGCTGCGAAAAGACTCCATTGTAAAACGTTCCCAGCTTCAGCGCTACAAGAGAGCGCAAGATTTTCGATCCTAGCATTCGACAGTACTTTATCCCATAAATTCATGTATGTGATCTCCCCTTCTAGCTGAGGCGGGTCCAGTACATGTATACTTCCAATGAAAACTGTCCCACCACCAGGGAACTTCGTCCCGTTACCAATGTCAATGAAGGATGTTTGAGAACCGTCTATGTAAATTGCACCTCGTCCATCTACGCAAGTCCAGGATGTGCAAACATGATGCCAGCCTCCATCCAGAGAAGGATATTTGACTTGTTTATTAAACCTTTGGGTGCTGCAAATATCGAGATTTAATATGACGATATTGACGAAATAACACAATCTCTCCTGTTTCGAAAACAGGATTTCTTCAACGCACACAATAAATTTAATATTTCTATCCTGACATGCCCAGACATGAACGTTTTCGTATTTATCAGGTTTAACAACATAAGGACCTTTTTTCACATACATAACGGTTTAACAATTCCTTAAGGGTTTCAATCTAAGAACACTTCTCAGGTTGAATTCAACTTTCTCGGATAAAAATACATTTTTGGTAAAGAAATCTTAAATGGAGAATGATGTTCAATATTAAATGAATGACACAGGCCTGATACTCCGAGAAAAAGAACTTCGAGTGTTCCCAATAGGAGTCGAACCTATGGCCTTCGATTAGTAGTTCGGACGCTCTACCTCTGAGTTATAGGAAACTTCCAGTTCCATGGGTAAACACTTCCTGCAGTAGCTTTGCTTACTCGTGAGCACTCGAATTCCGTGCAGCCAAGTATCATCCTTTTTGTATTCGGCGCGACGTTTTCGCCAACCCCTAATTTTAATTTATCGTCAACTTTAACGACCAAGTTTCGATCACGAATACGTTGTGATATCGATAAACAATTTATTCTCCAGCCCCCTTCCCCCCCCCCCCCCTTTTTTCTTTTTTCCTTCAAATTCTTTCCACGTGTTACCGCGACAGTGTGCTATTATCCATTTACAATCCGGGATGGGGGAAAGCACGTAACATGAATCAATCTCATGTTGGCTATAGTTGCATCCCATTACACTGACACCCGAATCCCAAATAATTTGAACCTTTTTATGTCTAGGAGATGAATGAACATGCTCCTCATCTCAAGTTTTACTGGATTATGTTAGTGCTTCTGATTAAATTTTTTCCTTACCTTGGCCAAATCGATAAAATGATCTTATATTCCTTGCCATCGGGTCTTAAGTCCATACTGAAGTTTCCGTCCTGTTCTGCATATCGTAGCAGATTCATTGGTCTAGGAACTGTTGGAGGTCGCACTTTTAACCAGAGACATGAGGTAAAGGCCTGGAACTCTGTCAAGATGATTGGAAAGGTGACGATGCTTAAGGTTTCTCTCCTCTCTGAGAACTTCAGAGTGTAGTCTCCAAAATGATCTGGAAAGAAATAATAGACTTCTCGGTAAATGCATGTACCTTCGGCTGAACACCTCATGAAATGAATTAAAATAGGCTAATCATTGCATAAGTTGGCGAGAACGCATTGCTGATGTTGTCCAGTTTGTGATAAAAACAGGATACCCTAAGGATTTGTTAAAAAAATGAAATAGTTAGTAGAGTGAGGGCGGGGGTTACATCGAACATCGACCAGGAATTTAACATTTTAGCCAAAAGAGGCTAAAATGTTCATTTCACAACAGAAACAGTTAAGTGTAACAAGTATATCACGAATTCTAACTTCAAATAACACTTTACCTTCTTTCCTTCTTATTTTCATTGTGGTCTTCTTTATTTTGCCTTTATGGGCGTCAGTATACGGAAAATCACTCCAGATCATAGAACCAGTTTCATGTCCATACTCAGAGTTTAACAGAGCCTCGCCACAAGAAGGAGTGAACCACCAACCCGAAGATGAAGTTCCATCTCCGCATTCAGTCACCGAAAAGTTAAAAGTGTTATGCAATCCTAGTTTATCAGGAATGTTCCCTGAAAAACCGCCAACAGATAGCTTATACGAAAGATCCTCACCAGCCACGTGAAAATGGCCGTAGTAGGCAAATCCTTCAGTTCCATCGAACGCTTTCAATTCGATCAAAAGCTCAGTTTTCTGGGTCGTTAAGCTATGAATTCTATTATTACCCAGCCACATTTCTGATTGGCCGCCTACCGTTCCAAAACCAGCTTTGTATTCATCCCATGTTCTATCGAAGCCCAGTGACCCATTAATTCTTTGTTGAACGACTGTCCAGCCACCACCTTGCGTTTCCTGGTCACAGAAAACTTCGAATTCTTCGTGGTTGTTTAAGGGGCTTATCGCGTACTTAGCACTGGTCTTATTTCCCGACAACAGCACTTCTCGACAGTCAGCTGTGTATAAAATAACAATAAAAAAAGAGAAATCAAGCGTAATAAATGCGCCCTGATCTACCCTCTGACCGACGTATATTTACAGGTAAATAATCAATGGATCGATCAGTTCATTCATTTAGAAAGTTAGTCGGTCAGTCAGATAGTCAATCTGTCTATTAGTCAGTCAGCTTGTCAGTATGGCGGACAGTTTGTTCAGATCCGCCAGTCGGCCAGTCGGCCAGTCGGTGACACTATTGCGAACAATAAATCAGAGTATTCGCCTTAATTTGTGACGCGTAAATAAAACAACAGCTAAAAATGCTCGAAATTATTTCTAGCACATTCAGGCACCCTTAGTTTTCTACTAAATTATCCAAGGCATGGGTCAATATAAAAATGAAAAAAGAATAGTTTCTATTCTTACAAACCTGGTTTCCACTTTCGCACTTCTTTACATTCCCCAATACCTGGGCAATATTTGTAACGATATTTCTCTATTGGTGTTTGTTGCGGTGTCAAAGCATCAGAGCTCCACTTCGAGAAAGTACAAGGATTCGAAAAGCCTTGATAAGAGTACGAAAGAATCAAAATTTTTATGCTATTCTAAGTCGCTCGTGCATGGATATATCGATAAACGGTTTTATGTGTAGTATCCCGCCACGTTAATCTGTGGCTAGGTAGTCAGAGTTAAAATACAAACAACGATAATATGAACTTACTATAAGACAGGAAAACCGAAGCAGATAGAGAAACACAGCGCTCTCAGCCGACCGGTTAAACAGATTTCTTTTAAAGTGCAAAATAGCCAACTGTCCAAGTATTGTGTGATATTTGTACCCGATTCGCGCGTTATTTGTACTCTACTTATTGTAGTCGGATTGTAGAGTGCCGTTCGTTTGCCCTGGAGGTATTTTTCTCGACAACATTCAAACAGGTCTCACTTACCCATCAATCGTCCGATTTCATCTGCTTTCAAAGCTCTCGAAAAAACAAAGAGATCACTGAGAAAACCATGAAAGTACCGATGCTTGTCTTCACTAATATTTTTGTATCTGCCTATTTCGAACGCGCCGCTTCTTGGACCCTGCCATACGTCAGCTACAGATATATCCTTCATTCCGTTGACAAAAAACGACAACACCCTATCTTGGTTGCAGGTTACAGTCACGTGGATCCACTCGTTCGCCGGAAGTAAGGCATAGCTTTTTGTGATGTTGTAAACTCCCTGGGACCAGTTGTCGAGCAGCAGCTGATTATCAGCATTAAAACCGATGGAAAATTTATCTGTGCTGTTTGTTTCGACGCTGAGAATTGGTCTGTAGATCGGGGCGGAATAAAGAAGTTTTACCCAGGATGTCATGGTGAATGCCATGCCAAAAGAAACGGGTGGGGCTTTAATGTAGGCCATTGTTTGATCAAGATAAACAGCTTTGTGACCATTAAGGCGACCTTCCAAGAATACAGTGCTATACTGCGGGCTATAGAGAAACATTGTTTAGGATGTAAACTTCCTTGGCAAATAAGAAAAATGGAGATTAAAAATACGAGAAATATTCATTCTGCATTAACACCGAAGTGCCAGTTTGGTGATGGTAGATGTCCCCTCCAATATTGAGTTTTATGAGATGGCAAATTGAAAAAAAATTAACCAAACTAAATAACCACTGATAGCAAAGGGAAGGATACGAAAGGAAACGACGATAAAGAGGAGGATTTATAAATGACGAGGTATTTTAGCAGCTTTTACGGAGCGACAACGGGGAAGTCGAGCTAAGTTAGATAGAGTAAGGAGGAAGGAGGAAAACAGGCATTCAAAGGCGAAAGAGGATCTGGAAGAAGAGGAAAATAGAGAGAACGATGACATCGAATTTAAAGATGATGGCAAAGATGATTTGATAATGATGATGATCATGGTGATAATGAAAATTATGAGGACAATGATGGCGACTGTTATTATAATGATAAAGATTGTTGCGGTGTCAATAGCTACGACTACAACGTCGATAGGATAACGTCAAGCTCGCATATATCAGAAAACCTACTTCAGATCTTGATCCTCTCCATTAAGCTTCCAGTGCTTCACTTCATGCGTTATATGAACTTCTAAATTAGAGCAAACGAGCTGTTAAATCTTTTATTGACAAGCTAACAAATTTTAATAAACACAAAGCACGGAATCGGAAAGAATGGGACCGATTCTCGTAAGGATCCATACTTTTATAACCTGAATTATTTTCCTGGAGATCAAACAGCTATCGTGAAAGTGTTTTGGGTTAGTGAAGTATATTGTTTATATTTCTGTCGAGATCTGTTACAGATACATTGGCATTTTCGCGGCCTAGGAAGAGGACAACACTACGCAAGAGAAGTCGGTAGAAATAATGCAAGTCACCAGCTCTCTACCCTTACGTTAAATCAAGTGCTCCTTAAGCAGGAGCTATTAATTGTACTTGCCCTTACCATTAGAAGAACAGGATTCTCCCAAATTAACACCACGAAGATCCTTCTGGAACTGAGGCCAAGAAACAAGTCCTCCGCGTTCTACCCCACACTTGGAAGAAAGAACTGAAAGGAGAGGGTGCTCCAAAATGCGTGGCCATATATTTACATGCCCTAACATACCGGTGTAGTTAAACTTTTCCTCCGCTCCGATTCCCAAAGTGAAGGTATTCTTCGAGGAAAATGATTTTCCGGATTTGAAATCACTTTCACTTCTAATTAACCGACCGTCGTAGTAAATCAGAAAATGGCCACCATCTTTGCTCCATGTGACACATAGTCCATGCCATTCGCCGTTCTGGATTTGAGGCATGATATCTAGTTCTCTATTGAGCGAAAAAAATCATCTCAGAAAAGTAAATGAGTCCTTAATTCAAAATTTTCTAAACCAGCCTTTTGTCAATTTTCCTTTGCTTCACGTTATGAACACAAGACATAGGGAAAAAAAAGGTTGGAGAGTTTCAAACTACGACCTTTGCTTTACCTAGCTAGATATGACTGAGATATTTAAAAATACATTAATTGGTAAGGAATACTTTTTTGTGAGACATCTGTATACCCTTGCCATCATTTTTTATTTCACCCTCAGGGCAAACCATTTTTTATCGCGTTAATTTCTGTATTTTGCTTTGAGAAATAATTGTAGTGTGTTTTCAGGAAGCATTTCTGCTATAGCATTTTATTATAAAATCGATTATTAGTGCGTTGGTAAAACAGCTTATGAATTGGGCCCTCTCGTAAACTTTTGACTCTTGAAACTCTTTTTCTACAATAACACTATATATGTATTAAAATTTCATACAAGCTACTGACAATTCTGCCATCATATCGAGTCCGCAAGCGACATCAATACAGACAAGTTTGCTTCCACGACGAGCTAATTTGTTTTTAAAGACGGAGACCAAACATTCCCCCAAGAAATAAATGATAAAAAAAGATAAAGATATAGAGCCCGACAATGACTATTGCCACGGAAATTGAAAAAAAGTCCAAGGGAATTTCCAATAATAGCCCAGGGCTAATGCACTTACACAGGAGTATTAGCCAATGTAAATACAGACTAAATCGGAGAGCAGCGATTGAAAAAAAAAATTTAAAAAAGTGATGTGACAAGGTATAGGTGGCAAACACATTTCTGTTTATTACCTATCTTCACCGTGGATCGAAAGCCATATCTGCCCAACAGAACCTAGCCTCAATGCAAAATATACATCGGACCCCGCTTCATCAAAATAGCGTAGAAGTCCAAGATCCGAGCCCAAGGATGGTTTCAACCATAAGCATATCGTGAGAGCATCGATGTCTTTGTCTCCATTTATCCTGACAGTTGAATACGCTGATTTAGACTTCTGACGGCTTGGAAATTCTAGACTGAAGTCATGATCTAAAAAACAGGCAATTTTGAATTCAGTGTTCATTACGATCTTGGAGGAATTCGGAAAAGCTACATTTGCTTTCGACATTATCAGTGGAAGCTTGAGTCACTAGGGTAAACGCTCGTACGCGAATATTTTTGTAAAAGATGAAGCGGATATCAAATACAAGCGTTTGGACATAACGATGACCCGGATTGCAGTGTATGTCACGCCTGACAGTCCGAAGTTCTGTTGGAAAGCGAATCTCGGCTGCACCTCGGGCAACTCAAACGCCACTTCTGTGCTCTCTGAACTTCCCGCAACCTTCATATCTAATTAAAATCATGCCACTGTATGAGGTAATCCTTAACCCTCTATAACACCAAAGACTCTTTTGAGTTGGTAAAATGGGTGAGACCCTAAACATACGAGAAAATTAAATAAAAACTGATATTCCACGGTGAAACCAACTTCAGAACTAACGATATTGCAAATACAAGAGGTCATGCTGTTCTCAAATTAACTCTGCAAAATGTTTTTTTTTTCCCAAAAGAAATCCATATCAAGAGATTATTTCACTAAAGATGACTGCAAAATTAATGAGAATGTTGTATTACGCGAAGACGAAAAGTCAGTCTTTCAGGTCCAAAACCATGGAGTAATGGTTGAAGTTATTTTCTGGAATTTTACAGAATTCTTGGTGGAAGAAGATTCTGTTCTAAGTATTCTACATAGAATTAGGGTAGATGTCACGTTTGAAAGAAAAGACCAGTAATTGATAATCAATGACAAATGAGAAATTTGCCTCCATGTTAGCGATAATTAAGACTTGCGCCTTTGGAAAAATTGTAATTCTAAGCTTCCTTGAAAAAGATTGGGCCCTTAACGCGATAAGTATTACTAAATGTGGAAATATGGCATTATTTTATCTGCATCAGGGCGATGCAGTTACGAACAAAGGCGTCTAAGTCTCGTCGCCTGGGATCTTTTAATTAGTCAAGAATGATAAACGAGAACGAAAAACTCCAGTAGGCAATTGCTGACAGGGAGAGCTCATTTTTGTTTGGGCTGGAAGCAATTATCAGTTTTCCATTATGGTGCGTGGATTTTCATTTTTTATGCTAAAAATTCAATTTTGTCAATGATCCACCTAACATCCCTCAAAATACAGCCTATATTAACACCATAAGTAAGATACCATCCAACATTTTTGCACAGTACTATTTGAAGAATAAACTTTCAGTTTAGGTGATATTTGACTCAATGTCCTTTATTGAATCATAGGAGCACAGGGAGAAACCAAACATGTTTGAAAAGCTAATAATAAACTTAGGAAGGTTCTTTGTTGAATAATCTGTTCTTTTTTCTTTTCACGATCGCTTTTATCATGCCGAGTACCAGATGTTTTGATAGACATGAAAAGATATGCTCACAATGATAATGGAATCATTAATTTTTCTCGAAAGATGGTTATTTAAAGTGTACCTCAAAATTGAACTTTGTTATCAATTTTGTAAAAAATATATTTGGATTTTTCTTCATCTGAAAAAATGAGATTTTCGAGTTGTATTTCATAGAAGGAACATTTGATATTTCCTCAGCGATAAAAAACTTTAATGTTAACCCTTTAACTCGCAGATGAAATTTGTAATTCTCCTTACTCTCAACCATACAAATCTTATAATGTTAGTTCAGAAAATTTAGTGTTGGATCAACTAATTATCCCCAAACTGATATTTTTCTTTATTCTCATCACTCATCTGGTTGATATTGTATTGATACTGTAAGGATAAATTCTGTCTTAGTCTAAACAAAACAATACCTGAGCATAATGATCCTCCAGTCGCGGAGATCTTCGAGAAGGTATAAAACAACACCTAAATTGATAAGAAAAAATATGGAAGAATGTTCTTGTAGCAAAAGATATGTTCATAATTTATACATTTGGGTTGTAATTGTTAGTAATAAAGAAAAAAGGTAGCATCCGTTTCTACTTACCAAAGTGACCAATTTGGAGATTATCAAAGGCATGATGTATTCATCTCTGTCAAAAATCTTCACCTAGGCTTCACTTATATAGTCTTCAACTAGCAAAAATTAGGTGGAATCACTCATTCCTCCATACTACCAGAGCAACCATGAAAGCTGGGCGAAAGAAAAACGACGATACTCCAAGATGATTGAGTGAAAGTGAAGTGAAAGCTTCGAAATTAACTTTGTTTCAGTACGTTACCGATGCCTAAAAACAACCCCAACCATTCATTATTCATGTATAAAGGAAAAACTGGTTTCCCCCGAGACAATTAGATGTTAACCAGTGAAGGGCCTCGGCCACCTGCTATTGGCCAATGCGTTAAACACGCTGTTAAGACCTTTGACGGTTTGCATGTGCGCGTTATGTAAATTCGATTAATAAAAGTGCAAACATCGTGTTGAATCCGTATTGCTTCGACACGAACATTAATCATTAAAATCTTGCAAAACAATGAGGTAGAAATTAACAGCCTTATTGTGTTCAATTTCCTGCCCGATAATGAATTGCGAATTCACGTCGAGTAGAGAGTATATTTGTTCAAACAAAGCAAAAACTCGTATGAAGACAAGAATAGCGTAAATGTGGAGGTATAAATGAAGATAAAATCTGAAAAAAATATAACGAATTTAAAAATAATTGAAAACAAAAATGACAGGATAAAATTGGAATACAAACATGAGCACATTTATACTAATTCAACTAAATAAATACATTTTTTTATTATTGTTTCGCATTGAATCTCTGTTATCGAAGACGAAATTCTCGCGAATACAAACAAATTTGAACAAAAAGCAGACTCAATAATCAATAAGTTAAAGACATGAGAGAAAACTGATTGATTATTCAAACTAGCCATTGAAATAAATCAAAAGAGAAGAATCAGTTTACACGGATCACTCTCAAGAATAGAGGTCTCCTACCTCCAAAATATTTCGATAGCAAAAAAGAAGAACTGAATGTACTAATCCTCGAGACTTATCTGATGCACTTCCCTTTCATGTACGCACTCTATTCCAGCCGAGTTTTGATATCTGATGGATTAGTGAGGTAAGAGCGGTGACACCAGCATTTCATTGTCCTTTTATTAAAATCGTAATATAGAAACATAAATATTACCTACGTAGATCTCATGCGTCTTTCAGGTGGTGGCATCACATGCGCTACAACTATTGCCAACGCAAAATTAAGTGTCAAATGTCGCTCATATACAGGCATCTTCTGACGACAAATTAAAACTAGGCGTTGGCGAAAAAGTCACGCCGAATACAAAGAGGATAATACACAGCTGCATGGAGTTCGAGTGCTCACGAGTAAGCAAAGCGACTGCAGGAAGTGTTTACCCATGGACCTCGTTAAACAGCCCAGCCCCAACTATAGCTCAGAAGTAGGGCGTCCGAACTACTAATCGAAGGCCATAGGTTCGACTCCTATTGGGAACACTCGAAGTTCTTTTTCTCGGAGTATCAGGCCTGTATCATTTGTTCTATATTAAACATCATTCTCTCCTTAAGTTTTCTTTACCAAAAATGTATTTATGTATTAATGATATATTTCAATTTTTTCCTTTCTTTCTTCCTTTCTTCCTTTTTTTTGTTAGCTGTTTTGTTTTTTGTTTCGTTTGAGGCTTTCTTCTACTAGTGAATTCGGGGATATTTTGAAAAAAGCTGAAGAATGTCATCAGATATTTCTAATGGGAATTATTTCTTCCCCCATCGTTCTTTTTTTGTCTGTTCTAGAGATGTATTACTGGAAATTTAACCAATCAAGTTCCTTGAAAAGCTTCGAATAGAACAAAAATCACTGCGCCGAGTTAATTGGAGCCCAGATATCAGCTGACCAAAAATATTTTGTGATCGAAGATCAAGGAAAGTTTCTGGCGGAAAATTTGACCTCAGAACTTAGTGGTGAAAATGGATTCACGGTTTCATTCTCGGCCAGGCAGACAGGAAGGTTAGATGGGTGCCATTTCATACCATGTCAAGTTGAACGACACCTATGCATCCCGGAAAGAACTTCCAAATTCTTTTAAAAATTTAAACGCTTGTGATCAGTCAGAACTCTTTTTAACCCCAGTGAAATTGATCGAGGGTACTTTTTATCGCCATTCGGTAACTAGCGACTGATGATAATGGACAAAAAAGGAGAAAAACTGTTTACAATAGAAACAAGAGACATAAAACAGACAACCCATGTGAACGTGAGGAAGGTAAAGCCGAGTGAATTCGCGGAAAACATTCTTTTAATGGAGAGTGAGAAACTGTGTTGCTACGTCAGTGAAAGGTTAAACAAGATAATTGTTATATCGACCGGGCCAACGTTAGCCCTTCGACAGAGCGAAAAATCCATGAAGCCAAGCTCAATTGGTGTTGGCTTCCATCTAATTTTTGTAGTACATTTGGGTGGCACATGTTTTTAGACTAATATCAAAGCCAAGTAAAGGAAAACAAAAGCGTGACAAACCTTATCTTAAAGTGTGTAGGACACATGAAGTTGAATTACATCAAGCCTCCCCTTCAAACTTTGTATTTTTTCTTTTCTCCAAGAAGTCAATCTTGGTTATAGGAGACGTTTTCTGCGACCTGGGGATATCTACTAATGCTAGCCTAGGCAACATTCACGTCTTCAAAGTTTTTTGTTTCGGAATTCATTTATATTGTTGAAAGGCGACTTCCTTTAAAATCTTAATGTGATTTTTCTCTAATCTCTTTCAGTCTTAGCCTCAAACATACTTAAGGATGACTTTAAATCTCTTAAGGTGCTCCGCAAAGTATTTCCTGATTTCATTCGCGACCATGCAACGTGGAAACGTTGTTACTACGCTAACCAGTCATCCTGGAGCACTACAGAATTTCATACCGAGTGCGATTATATGGGACCAACATTAACTATCGTACGTGTCCGAGAATATTTTTTTGGAGGCCTTGTTGAGCAGAGTTGGGGAGGTGGGCATTCTTTAATTATATTACAATCTGTTTGAGGACCAAAATTCCGTAAGTCGTTAAACTAATTTTGGGGTGAAGCCCAAAGGCATTGTGCCTTTGATGCAAACGAGGTCGTGTGTGCCGTGTTTTGCAAAAGCAGTAGAAAGGCGCACCCTGCCATATCTGAAGGGTGAAATCATCCATAAGACTAACACTATTTCTCAAGGCAAAAATATTATCTTGCATGGATGAAAAAAGGGATATAAATCTAATTATTCAAGAGCATGTATGCTCGTGAATTAGCATCTACGTTTAATTAGCATCTACCACAGGAATCAATTATTCTGGAAATAGTTTATGATTGTTAAACGACTTATTGCCGACAGATGTGTCTGAAAAAAAATATTCATGGTGGAAAAATGATGAATATGTACAAAACATTAGTAACTTATAAAGCAAACAGAGACCGGATAAAAATGCTTATGCTTATTCAAATTGTATTTTCGTCTTGTTCTTAGGAAAACCAGTAGACATTGGACGTTAGATAGAAGGATTCCTGTTCAGCCTGTCAAACCTGTTTAACCTGGCCCCTCGAATCCTATAAATCCAACAACGAAAGGCATTCGCAAGAACAGATCCACTGCTTTGTCCAAGTTTTGGGGAAAGAGATCTTGAGCTCTTTGAAGATAAAAATGGCCGAATCATGGGATACAGCAGTTTGGAGGCTTCTTTTGATCAGAGGAATGTTTCATTGTCTTATGAAACTCGTTATTACTTAGCGGGCTCTTGGCATTTTTAATCAAACCAAGTGGAAGTTTTTTATTACCATGGTGAGTTAGTGCTGAAAAGGTGTCGTAAGATCAGTTTTGTCGCTGAGGAAACTTGAGGAACACTCTGAGACCTCGTAGAATAAGAGTTCCGATAAAATTAACCGATTTAAACCTTTGTTGGCCTTTAGCTCATAGCCAATAAAAATGGATAAAGCAAAATATAAATAAGGTCGACTTTCTTTATGGATACTAAGTCGATAATTAGATAAAAAGTCAAGGGATTTTATCCGAGTTAGGGTGACTTGAGGCTTAAGAGAAGTTATGGCAGTATCGAACTTTCTTTCTTTGGTTCCATTCAAGCCAATTCGTTCATAAAATAAAACGATACTCGAAAACTATAGCTGAGTGGCTCGTCATATGCGCTATACAACTGTTGCTTACGAAAGTAAATATTTCGTAAGGCGACTCGAGAAAAGCTTGAACAAAACATGAAGAGATTCATAGAGATTTGAAGCGTTTTGAGATAAGCTAATGCATAATGTTTCTCTACCTTTAGTTCCTTTTACGCCATTAGGTCTAGAAAATCAAATATTATCCGACAACTACCTGAGTAACCCATCACAACTCAACAGCAGCACTGGTCCTTATCTTGTTCGCTTAAACGAACAACACGACTCCAAGGCGTGGCGTTCAACCGGCTCTAGTAAATGGTTGGACGTGTTCTTAGGAAAACAAAACACTTTGACGCATGTGGCACTGCAATCGATTGGCGGAGGCGTGGACGTATCGGAATTGAAAGTTCAGTCGGAAAAGACTAAGGATGGAACCAAATGGATAAGTTATATCAAGGAGATTGACGGAAAAGAAATTCCTAAGGTTTGCTTGTTGCCGTTGTTGCAGGGGTTTAAAAAAACATTGGTTATCTTTTACTGCAGCCAACAAGGCCTCTTACTATTTGTCACGGGGACACAGTCCGAAAGCCAGTTATCGGCGGTCTACCGCTGGCCATAAAGCGCCTCGGGCAATTCACTTGTATTTATTTTGACTTTTTCTTGGTTCGTTCCTACTTTTGTTTTGTTTTATTGGTTGTTCTTGCGTTCTTCCAATATCACCTTTACTTATGAGGCCATTTATTTACCGGAGGTCTCACCAAAACCATGGTTTTATGCAATCGGTGGGCCTCAATCTTTCTCTAAAAGAGGTTTAATTCAATAAAATAAATGTTCTTCCACCGTCAGCTTTCAGCACTCTCAACGCTTATCACAAAAAGAAATGTTCAGATCAAAGACTCAACTAAACCGAATATGAAAGGCTAAGTTTTCCGTTTGCCTCACACGTGACTACATCGTGAGACAAACGGAAAACTTAGCTTTTATTGTTATTCACCACGATGAATAACCACAACCTTTTTTACTAAACTGAATATTGTTTTTAGATCGGTTTTTTATTGAATAACAATGAAAATTTGTTTCGATAATCAGACCATAAAGTCTGAAAACGTTTTGAAAGCTTAATTTATTACTTCGTTAACTGTATCACCCATGTAATTTATTTTAAAGGTTTTTCGCTCCAATTTTCCATCAGCTGGGTTTGTGATAAAGGAAGCGTTCATTCCATGTTTCCAAGCCGTTAAGGTCCGATTCTATCTTAATAAAACAACAATACAGTGCATAAAAATGGAAGTTTATTCCTGTGATGCAGGTTTGTGCATTAGATAAAATGGGAAAAAAAGCTCTTAAGCCATTTAACTTATCCAAAAAAATATCCACATCTTTATTCTATTTTCATGTTATCAATAATATTAAATTGGTCAGTAGTTTTAAAAGACTAAGATAATTACCTAAACTATCTGAGCTAGCTGTCTGAACCTAAATTTGCACTATCAATGAATAGATCGAAAATTCCTCTTTAAGGTTGCTTTCAGTCAGCTTAAGAGTATAGGTCAATTCTTCTTGTCTTGCTTTTAAGGTTGCTCTCAACCTTATGGAGTTGAAAATCGAACGGTAGTTCCAGATGAAAAACTAACAGCATCCTCAACCGAAGTTTCTGATAAATACAGGCAAGAATACTCTTGGCCAAACAAAGGTCATCTAGACCACAATAAGGAAGGGGCACGTTCCTGGGGGCCTTACAACCATCCAGATCATTTGTCCTAGGAAATCTGGTTTCAGATTAAATCATTGTTGATATAATTATGTTCCTGAACAAATGCAGGCCAAATTTTCAAGTTGGCTTTTGCGATCTATGTCAATCTTTAGTCAGTCGCGAGTTGGTCTGTTGTGAAAGGGGGTAAGGAAAGGGAAGTAGGAGGTTAGGGTGCTGGGGAGGAAGTTTTATTCTGTGAGATAAAACTGACAACAATTTTACTCCCTCTTTCTTTCTCACTCGTCGTTGATTAGGAAGGTAAAATAAAATTCCTTTATTACTCTAAAGGCTTCGATTGGAAGTTTAAGGGTGCTGTCGCAACCTAGGGAAGGCCTACTGACATCCAATGGCCAACGAAATATCAAATTGCGTAAAATTCTGAATGGAGTCAGGGTAGCATTTCCCCTTTTCACATTTTTATTTTCCATCCGTTTCCCCGAGCAAGCGAGGAATAGAGGACGGAGGGGTCATGTGTTAGGAAACTTTGCTTCTCGTTCTCTGTCTCCGGCCCGTCCCATTTTTTTTAATGATTCTTAAATCTTTTGGGAAAACGAGTTTACTTTTGAATAGCTAAGATTTGAAACTGCAAAAAGGTTTATTCCTAAATAACTTAGGTAACACACACCTAAGGTAACACTTCTATACACAATATGTGTTACCGTAGTAACAAAGATTTGTGAATGTGATGGAAATGGTTGGCCTTTCAGTCGAGAAAAGAGTGAACCGACGTTATGTGCTTATGATTGATTTTCAAGACAGATTTTGAGTCCTGACTTTAGAAATATTTGGTGACTCTCAAAATGTAAACTGAGATAAACTTGGTAAAGTGTATCTATTGGAAACTTTGGAAGGGTCACAAAAATTAAGATTGGACAACAGTGCTTAATACAAACTCTAACTAATGCGCCCCAAACTGGTAAACCTTCGTTTTTTTGAAGTCGTCTCATTGATAGCTTTTAAACGCAGCTTGCATGTGGTATTGGTTACTTAGTACAATTGTTTCAAAGTTTTTTTCCAATCCTTTTCTTTAGAAGATACTTTTAAATAAATGCCTAATTGTTGCTCAGAAAGCTGAAATCATCTCTGAAGGATAAGCGTATCCGGATAAAGGCATCTAGGACTTAACATTTGCCGATTTTTACTTGCCTTTTAAAGCATCGATAAAGTGAAATAGTTGCACGAACCTAAGACATATACATGTTGCATGGCCCTAAGTATAATTTCACTCTAACTCACTTTTTTTTCGATATTTCCAGCAAGTTTATCCAAGCAAAGGTATCATAAGAAAAGACGAGATATTTATGCACCGATATATATATCATACATGGGCGGATCCTTGTCAATGGTAACTTACATCACTTTTTTTTTGGCTTCAAAAGCCGGTTTCGGGTAAAATGAAAAAAACTCATGAAAATAAACTATCCATTGTTCCTAGCCAGATGTTTGTACTAATTTTTCAAACACGACTTTATATTGACAAGGGCTGGTTAAATTTTTCATTTAACACTCAAACTTTCCTTTTTTATACAAACTTACCCTTTATCTGTAGAATTATCGAAAACTCGAGGAGAAATGTAAGTATGAAATGTGGAATCCACTTAAAAATCTGGAAAAATAAATTGTTCAGACATCAGAATAAAAACATGTATTCATGTTAATTAATTTTATATATAGAAATAAAAATTCATCAGAAATTGCTAAAATTGATGTTCCAGTATACATGCAGTTTTGGCGGGCGTTGAAATCAGCCTCGAGGACAGAAGAATTCAGCATTAAACAGTATGTGTTTTTAGGATTTTTCTGGTGCGACAGTCAATTGGATTAAAATTTCAAAGATGAAAGTTGTCAGGGTCGATTACTGAACTTGGAATTATTTGCCAAAAGACGAAACTTATCAATCATCGCCACGGTTGAGGAAAATAAAGATAGACAAAATCATGCGAATTTCCCAAGTAAAGTTATGCACTACGTTGGTGACTTGATAGGTTACTGTAATCAATATTTAAGTTGATCTCATCAAACTTTATTAATATTTACGCTGTAAAATACGTATTGAAAAACATTCAGATAGACTAGATCCAAGGCAAAAGTCTTGTTTACAATCTTTTCAGAAATAAAGATACAAAACAATACCAATAAGTAAAAAGATGACGTTGCGATGTTTTTGTCAACCGTGGGAAAGGAACATATTGTCTTTGTCTGAAAGGACAACTTTTACTTTTAGTTTGAGTGAATACCCACCAGTTATTCTTAAACCGAAAAAAAACAATGAATTCTAAGTTAAATCGAAGCACCAATCATGGCTTTAAACTAAGGCAAACATCGATCACAAAGTCCCACTAAGATGTCTCTTCAATAAATATTTTAATTCAGCAGGGAGAATTATAAACTTGTCATTCAATATTCAGCTCGAGTTCTTATTAGTCATGACTCAACATACACAAATTCTTAAGTATAGAATTTTAATCCAAAGTATGAAAGAGTTCTGTATTAATGTAGTCGATTTTCCATCGCGTTCAAGTATTTTTCGGACTCTGTTTTCGTCGGTTTCGTTCTTCTTCAAAATTTCGAAGTTCCTGAACACTTTTATATGTTAAATCCAAGTAAAGTTGTCGGAAACTGTCATGAAAATTTTGCACTGTCTTCAGCATCTCATTTCTTTGTGCCATCAGTCTTGCACGGCCATGCCCTTCTAGAGGAGTGAACAAGATAGGAATCAATAAGACTGCTTGTCTTTCTTTTTTAGTTTAATATCAATCGTAAAATAGAACTGATCACTAACTCGCTGACAAACTGCAGTAAGTGGTAGAGACTGACAAGTGGGCTTACTGTTTTGACTCATGAAAGTTAATATAATTAATAAGGGTGACTGACGTCCTGCTTGACTGAATGGTTTACTGAATGACGAAACCATTAAATCATTTACTGACCGACCTACCGATCAACCAACCAATAGCTGACTGACTAGTTAATTGTATGATTCTTTTACCGATCGAGCGACAGACCAAAAGCCTGCCTCAAAGACTGATTTATGAGCTGTCCTCAGTCAACTGACTTTGTGATCACCCAGTTTAATTGTTAAATCAAAACAATTTGACTGAATGACTGACTGACTGACTTACCTGGAAGTGCATTTTTTCTTCGAGCGCGAAGTTTATGGATGGCTTCCCAAACGAGGCCACAGAGGACAGCAGCCCCAAGTGCTTGCAACAGCGCAAAAAGTACCTCATGAAATAACAGGGATTCAACAGAAAACAGCTTTGTAGTCCGTTCCTCGGCCTCACTTTTTTCTGGTTGCTAGGAAACAAAGATTGACAGCTTATTGGTGTATTTCGTTCTTAAATAGCAGAATGAAGCGACCAGCAACAAGGAAACATGTCAAGGTGCTATCAGAAATTAGAAGGTTTGAAGTATACCTGTAATGGAGTAGTACTGTTCTCGATCATTTTGGTGATAAGTCCAGCCTTATTTCTGATGTAGTCACGAACTCTCTTTTTCAGCCTCATGGCCTCTCCTGATAAGACAACTCCAAACCCTTTTGGCAGCTTTATAACTTCCTTGACCCGTAGTTGCTGGTCAAAGAGATCCTTGATGGAGTGACTTCCGGCGATATAGGCATCTAACAACAGTCCATTGACTTCACCCTGCCCAAGAGATTTATATGCTTCCTGTAGAGTGTCTCGTGGCCCTGGTGAAACAAAGGGAACGGCAATGGCAAACTCTCAATAAAATGGAGACCCCTAGAACTCTAGAAGACGAATCTTGAGGTGTCCTATGTTTGAAGGTAACAAATGCAAACTTTTAAGGTACCTTTCATTTAACAGTCAATACTAAATTGCAACTTTTTTTCAATGTCAAGTTCCATTGCATCTAAACCAAAATACATTGCAAAGTATCAGTGGCCAGGCATCTGATCTCCATGGACGTAATTTAAAATTTTGTAGAAGTAATGTTGCCTTTTAATGACTAGTTGGCGAAATACGTTATTTTTTCCACAGTTTCCACGCATCGTGTATCATAACTTTAGATTTTACACCTTTTCTACTCACTGATGAGAGCATTTCTTCTGACGCCAAGTCTATGGGCCGGTGAATCAGTTAGAGCCGTCACCTTGACATGAATGCAATTCAAAAAGATATGTCAAAAACCATTTCTCCGCTACATCTTCTAAATAATCCTGTACGGTGCCTTATAATAAAATGACGTGCCTGTTTCCCTTTGTTTTTTTACTTGAGAAAATTTCAAATCAAAGTTATTAATTTCATCCTGTTCGTTGTCTGCGGCAGATAAGTGAGAGTGAAAGAAAGCCAAAGAAAAATCCCCAAATGAAGAAAATAAAAAACTAAAAAGGAAAATGTTATATTATTTGCTCATCAAGTGTAGCTCCCATTGCTTGCCTACATTTTGACGTCCAGATCCGGGATATCGGCCATGTGCTTTGTCAAAAAAGAAGTCTCCATGTTTATACTGGCATATTTTGCTAACCAAAATTGTTGAGTTATGGCCACTCTGAACTCGAAACAGTCGGTAAGTTCCATCGTACTTCGTATGTAATGTAATTTCGCTTGCTAAAGGTGTCATTTCTGTTCGTAGAAAACCTGCCTTATTGTTGGAACATGCTCTCAGCATTAAGGTTTTGTGAAACAGAAAGTATATTTGGTGCGCAGGCTTCAGTAGAAAAAAGTAGTTCAATGTTTTAAAATCCAGGCTTTGCAGGGTAACAAGACAGTAGAAGCCAAATGTAGAGAGCCTTTGGTTTCCTCAGTTGCAACTGAGTTTTGATTGCCGCACTTAGCGATTTCCTCCCTCCATAAAAACCAAAACACCTATCTTAATACGGTCTGGACCTAGAGGATATTTCTGTGGCTTGTGATGTAGTTGATTCGAGTGCACTGATTTTCATTTGTTTTTATTTATTTATTGTAATGACAAAGGCTCAGTTCTAACATACCTTTGAGCCGTACAACATTACATCTTTCTCTATCGTGTAGAATGTCAGCGAGGCAGCTAGTGCTCCTGTAAGTACAGAAGCCACAACCAGGCCAGTTAAAATCCAGGCCACCGCGAATAGCCTTGACCAGAACCCCACAAGCACTTTATCTCCGTAACTAAATAAATGATAATAAACACACATTTATGAGATTTAACAAACAAACTCAACAGACTTTGCTCTTCATTATGGCTTCCTGTCGAGATCTAAAAGTAAATTGACGACCTTGTTCGAGTTCCTTTATTTGTGCCGTATGGAACGAACGCAAGAAAAACTTGAACGCAACTTCGTCACTCCGCAACGTCGTAACTTTCGTGATATTGAGTTACTTTCTCATTGCACGTGGCCCTGTGCGTACACTTAATCTATCACCCAATCCTGTGAAATCTTTAAAGATTACGTGACAATAGTCCGAACAGTTAAATTGGGCAAAATATCCGCAGGCATCCGAAATGATATGAGCATGCACTAAATCATCTTATTTTATATTATCTTTTACTAAATTCAGAGTCTTCTTAGTAACGTGAAAGTTACTGATTTATTTTTTCATGTTCTGCTTCGTCACTTTTCAAAACGGCTAAAACGAAATTGATAATTTTCTATTCGTTATTTGGTGATCGTGGAAATAATAATTTCATGGTTTACCCGACAGTTGTCATGGAAGTAAAGGAAAACCAAAATCCTTCAAAAGCCCCTTTGATGAATGAGTGGGCGAAACCGTCATCCCGGGTTGTTTCCTAAATGACAAAAAAGGGAACATGAGAAACGTGGGTTTTGGTAATTATTGCTCAGGAGCATATCTAAATGGCAAGTAGTTTGTGTGACTCTCCAAGAACTTAGACTGCGTCCACAGGGGCAATGCATATGAATTACTCAATGCAAGCACTCTTGGGGCATTAGGGAGGTTTTTATCGCTATTTTGTTTAGTCTTATGAAGAGAGTAGTTCTTAACAACCTGACACAACTATATAACGCAATTTAAATCCGTTTAGGCTCGCGGAAATCTACTTTAGGCCTGGAGGGAACTACAAATCAAAGAAAAACGCAAAATAAGCAAAGGTACTGTAAGGGAAGAAGGAAAAAACATGCCCAATAATAGATTTAGTTAAATGTCTTTCCAGTTTGTTACAGAGAATTCCAAGCTTTATTAGAAAGACCCAAAATTCACAACGTGTCCCCTTGCGAATAGAAAACAACCTGACCATTTTTTTTTGAAGGAAAATGGTGGACAGGTTATCGCCATTTGAAGGAGCTAACTAGAAAGAGTTTGACTATCACGTGTGACTCGGATGAAGATCACACCATGGATAAAGAAGGCACAAGGCCAGCTCTACTCACCAGGGCCCAGATGATGGTACCAGCCACGAAAGCCATCATTAAACAAAACAGGTGTAGCGGCAAATACTTCAACAGTGTCGATATGACTATGTTTTTACTTCCATCCTTCTGGCCAACTGTGATGAAGGCGATTCCTGGTGACTCTACCATTGGAACAAATACATAATACCTTTGAAATTTGTCATCATCCATGGCCCCTGTGACAGGAAAGCTTATCGCTGTCTTATTGTTAACGTCCGAGACAACTTCATTCAAAGTGGTCTTATGGGCTGCGCCTCCTTTGCCGTTAGTCTTAAAATTCAGAAACGTGTGTCCATGAGCTTTACATACACCACAGGACTCCAACAGCATTTCTTTCACGAAAGTGCCAATAATTCCTTGCGGTGACTGACTGTGGACTGATTTGGTAACGTACGGAGGAAGTTCCGCCCAGTTGGTGTTGAATACTGCTGGGCAACGACAGGTATCTGTTGTTAAGAAATGAATTTGAGTCACTGACTGTCAATTATAACGAAGCCAGAGCTAAGTGCAAGGCACGCAGCCTTCAAAAAGTGAGTTGTTCAACATTCTCTTTTTATATTTTCATTGCTAGATTGAAAAAAAGGAGCACTATTTTATTTGAATTCGTGTAAAAATGTATACGACATACATTTGGGTTGCGATAGGGCTGAAGGATAGTCCATTCATTTGTTGACCAAGGTTTCGCCCCAAAGTACTTAATGGATGTTGCTCGGGAAAAGCCCCATTATTTAACTTATCAACGGAATCTTTCGATGTAATTTTGCTAGCCGTTTGAACAAACGACGGGAATCTGCTTCCCCCCAGAAAATTGGAAATAACCGATTTTTGATGTATTATACACTTTTTATTACCTCCCGTCACCTTGACTGATGATAAGCCATTCCCCTTGGATGTAAAGCCAGCTACTTGAACAACGTAAGAGGAGTAACTTTTTAGTCCAGTTATATTTGCGTGAAGAACGTCTGGACTATCAACAGTCATGGTGGCCATCTCTTCGCTATCTACTCTTTCATCAGCCACTTTTATTGCTTTATAGGTGATACGGTAGCCAAGTAGTCTGCCCATGACATGCTCCTCTGGTAAAGGTTTCCATGAAACTGCAAACGAATGCGGGGATGTCGTGTCTTCCACACTTACAAGCGGAGCAACCTTCGGTACTGATAAGAAAATACCAATGCAAACAAAGTTCAGCTCGCTTGTTACTTGCACCAGCTAGAAAGGCATTTTTATATGTGATTGGGCTTAAAGGATGGCGGGTAAATAAGCAACCAGAAGGAAACTCTTGCGATTTTGTTTTTCTTCCTGTTACCGTTTCGCAACCGTGTTTGTTAAATTTTTAGTGCCGAATAAAGAGGTATTTGTTCTCCCTAAACGTCTGCAGAGCATGAAAGCAAAAGCTTACCCTCCTCTTCCATCATAATTTCTTCAGCTTCTCCTGGAAGGCCATTCCCACTTTTGTTGAATACCATTACTCTAATCCTGTACACTTTTCCTTCCTGTAGATTCGTTTGATGTAGGGTGGTAGTGTTGCGATCAACAGCGACTGTGCCCCACCTCTCCTCGTTGATTGGACGAAAGGCAACCATATATCCATCTATTGGGCCGTCAGTAACTGGTGTCCAGAATACTTTAACACTCGTGGCACTTGTCAGGTAAGTCTTGGTTATTTCAGGAACCTGGTTAGGAACTGAATTACATTTTAAAATACGCGGCTGTTTCTGTTTTTACATAAAAACCGACGTTTTATATCCTCCGTTTGATAGAAAAATAAACAAACAAAAGTGGGCGTCAACATAGTGCGACAAACAGTGCTAAAAAACCATTAAGGCAGCCGTAAGCACTTCGCTTTACGACATGATAATGAGCTTTCATAGCACTAAGTTTGCCATAAATTGTGGAGTGAAGTACCACTGTCGCACATATTAAATCACACTTGATGATTTACCCTTTAGATATTTTGCAATTAAATGCTATTTTGGTGAGAAATTATATTGATACGAGTGCTCAGGCGCAAACAACACCGAGTCAATCAAAACCATGGGAAAGGACTCACCTCCTGCTACCAAAAGAGAGACAGAGGTAACTTTTAAGTCTGCTATCCTGCCTTTGTCAGCGGTATCCGTGAATATCAGTAACTCATCAGAGTCTAATTCACGAAATGTGATGGTAAAAAGTACAATAACACTTCCCTTTCTGCAAAGATTAAAAATAAATGCAATGTATTCAAAAGAGGAGATAGCGATGTATCTAAAAATTGCGACCCTCGATTTTTCATTAAAATGATGTTTCTTTAGAATAGGTTCATTCAAATCTTACCTGCATTGATTCAAAGTAATGTTCACCACTTTCCCAGGATACATTTTTTGAATCTAGATAGTACAAAGTGACAGAGAAATAAGTGCCAAATTGCTGTACTTACTGAAATACTGACAGATAATAAAGTGGATTTTAATTTGGATTAAAGTGGATTAGCCTTTACCTAGTGCTTGCTAGATATATTAAGTTACTGTCAAACTTTTTACCAATTTATGCTTGGATAAAGTTATACTTTTGTCTCGAACTCGTGCTTCATTCAGTTTTTCATTTTAAGGTTGATGAATTTTACCAGTGTTTAAGTTACATTACATAATGTAAAGAAGGAGAAAAATGCTTATGTTGCAACTTATTATTTGCTTGTTTAGTGTTAAACATTTAACATCATTTTTAACGATGGAAGCTTACGTTTTCCTCTATATTGGCTTCCAGCCTTTTAAATAAGACACTGCTCTTGTTTAGGAGTAAGTCATCCCAAGTCTCATCAGTCAAATGTGCTTCAACACCCAAAGGCACGACTAAAAAAATTCCAAAAGAGAACGTTAGTCAGAATGAAAGAGAGTTGTGATGTGACAAGAAGGTGCTGTTTGGAGTCTTGGTTGGAATTGGGTAGCAATTTTTCCAATTTAGCTTAAGATTTAGACCAGGTTTTGTTATAGAAAGTTTTCATTGGTCGTCGTGTTAGTCATGCAATGATGGGAAACAATCAGATCGACCATGTAAAGGTGTGAACGAGACCTAGAGTGATGAACTCTTTTGTAATGGAAATTCCTTCCTTTCGGTAATGTAAGTGAAAAATTGTATTCAAAGAACTGCATGAGACATCTCGATCATGCTCTATGGCATGAAGGAATAACAAATGTTCTTAAAGGAATTATCTATCTTCAAAACTTGGGCTATCGATGTTGCAAACACGGTGTCCTCTTCTTGCCATTAGTTATACTGACTACAACTAATAGCTTAACAACGCCTTCATTGACCGTATCGTACCTCTACATGGATGTGTATTGCAAATTTCCACGTCCTTGTTCTCTCCGTTGCATTCTGCGCTATTTTTGATGACTGATTCAGCTACACATTCCCTTGATCTCTTGCGTGAGCCGCCTCCACAAGGCTTGTTACAAGGAGACCAATCACTCCACTCAGTCCAAGAAAAAATGATGTCAAAATCTAAGGAAAACGAAGATATGTTGATGTCTCAGATGAAAACCTTCTTATGTTCCTGTCAATGTCGTCTTAATGTCATGACTTCTGAGCTCAACCTGGAGCCACTGGTTGGGATCATTTGTGAGAGCTCACCAAGCCCCCTGCTTGCTACCACGTTGTTTACATGTATATCTACCCTAGGCTGCAACAGTGTTATTGTCCAACTGTGAGGAGGCACTTATTTGTGCATTAGATATATCACCATTTTTCATGCCAAGGGTGTTATCTCGTGTGTATGCTACAAAGCGAAATAGTGAAATAATGATGAACTCATTTTGCCAAGTTTTTCGGGCAAATGTCTGCTTTACCAACTATAGCTAGGGGGAACATATTTCTTTCTCTAAGGAAGAACAAACAGAAAGCAAAATAACGTTACCTTTGCTGTTATTCGAGAGGCTAGTTGCTAACGATCGTTGCGTTGTTCTCATAGGCTGCATTTGCATAGGTGTTTTGTTGTTTTTGTGAGGTAAAGCGCTGGTAATGCTGAGCTCTTGTTTTGTGATCATCTTCATGGAAGACCTGAGGATGGCGGCGTTTTCATAAATACTTGTTGTGGTCCTGGGTAAATTTAGAGAAGACGACTGCTCGACTGAGTGGGATGAAGTTTGCGCTGTGTTGATTCTTTGAGGTAGCTTGTTGGTTAGCCTCGGCTCTTGATTTGTTATCTTTGTCGTCGAAGACTTAAGGATGGCTGCGCTTTCTAAAACGTTGGTTGTGGTCGTGGTTGTAGTTTTGATGGTGGTTGTTAGTGAATTTACAGGCTTGAGGATTGCTGCGCTTTCAAAAACGCTGGTTTTTTTCGTGGGTGAACCTAGATTAGCTGATTGTTCGATTAGGTTCCATGACGTTTGGGCGATAACATGGAAGAGTGAGACAGTATTTTGTTGTGAAGCGATACTGGAAGAAGAGTGCCATGAGTATGAGATAAGCTTTGTTGGATATTCAGTAAAATTCAGCTGTTTGATGGAGAGAGTCGTATTTTGCAAAGGATGTTGTGAAGGGAAGCGGATTGAACTGCTCTGGTGGTGTGTGCTACGAGGGAGAATTTTCAGAGGGTTTGTGGCTAAAATCTCTGTTGACTGAAAGGTGACCTTACTCTCAAGGAACAGCCTTGTGGCTGTTGACGTTTGTTGAAGAGTTGACTGCTTGATTGGCTCGGATCGGTGTTTTGGTATAGTTTCACTTTGAAGAAGAATGTCCTTTGAGTTTGTGCTCAACGCCGTTGCTGAATTTAAGGTGATTATTCCTTCAAGAAGAACCCTTGAAGCTGAGGGTATGAGTGGTAGAGATAACGTTGCTCTTAATTTAAATGGTTCTTGTGTGCCTGGATGATTCTGAAGTGAATTGATCGTTAAAAATTGCAGAATTCTTGTTTCAACACTTGCAGACGAAGCAAGTGCTGATGTTGGCGTTAAGAATCCTGGCTGAATAATATTTTCACTAGGGTTCGATCCATCCACAGACTTTGTACTTGAGACAAATATTGAAGAAACTTTTTTAGGGACGAAGCTGTTTTCTGCCATCTCCGTGCGCTCAGAATGAGTAGATGTCCGCGTTGAGTTGGGCCCTGCAGAAACGCTCGTCGTTAATAACGTCTGTGCATCTGAGCATGTTATACTGGAACCATTGTCAAAAGGTTTGGATGGGCAAACGAAAGCGTCTAAACTGTACTCGTATTGACCTGTAAATTGCAAAAGTAGTTATTTTGTCACACTTCATGAGCTGTACATGTACATCAGACAATTAAGAGACAGACAAGTGATTTGAATAATTATGACGCGCCATGCGGGCGATGGAATCATCGTGATAGGGCTTTTTTTTTTGACAAGACAATCAGTAGTTTTCATCAGTCGAAAATAACATTCATATCTATGCCGCTGACATAAGATCGACATGAATAAATGCCTTATTGTATTTTCAATCTTTCAAAGAACCAGTTGAGTCAGCATAATCACAGTGAATTTTACAACTTTCTTTAGCCTTCTTGTTTGGGATATTTTAGGACACTTTTTTTCACGCAAAATTTTTTACGATTTTCAATGAAATCGGGCAAGTCGTACTGGGGAATAAGACACAATTTAGCGTTTTTTCCTGTTTTTGCACGTTTGCGGAGACACCAGTTGAATCATTGGGTTTACAAAATCACATATATGGATCTAACGAACAAGTTGAAAGTTTTAAAAGCCATTGGAGAAAGTCCCTTAATACCCGTTGATGAGTAGAATTGATGTTCGTCTTTTTCTTAAAGAGATATTCAGGGGGCAAAATAAGTAATACGGCCGAGTAACCATATACGTCTCTGTAATTAGAAAGGCAATTTGTATCTCATGGTGCTTGCACGAATCCTATTACACATTACTGTATGTTTCAAGGAATCTTGGGTGAATATCCGACCTATCAAACCGAGCCAGCTGGAAATTAGCCATGTAAGTGCAGAAAGAAGCATTTCAAAGAAAGGTACAAAGAGTTTTCCAACAGCGCGTAGAATGCACAAGATGAATAAAAAATTATGAGCGCCCTAATCTGCAAAATTAATATGATAGAAGTATTTGCTGAAGTGCCTTATTTCATACTTTCAAATACCTATCTGATCATCAGCACTGCCTACGTCATCTTCAGTATCGTCACCTTTCAACACCATCTTGCGGCAAAAACTCTCCACTTTAGTTATTTGAGAAAAGTCGAGGGCCCGGCGATAGAGAATGAAGCACTTCATTTTTCCAGAAAAATTCTCAGGTGCCTCCTTTACATCGTAATCAGAAGCTTCTCTCATAAATTCAATGTTATTACCCAAATATATATATTGTGGCTCCTGTATGTCAACATAACCCCAGTGCGCACTATGGGTCAAATCATCGCCTGCGTAAAGCGTGGCCCATCCTGATGTTTGATTATAGGTAACTGCTGCAATTGTCCAGCGGTTGATTTTAATGCTCATCGCCACCTTCAGCTTGTTAATTCGCGTTTTGTTTTCACATTTTGAGTACAATGAAAAATGGAGGTCGCGGTCGTCTAATGAAAGTAGGAGAATTGGCTTGTCATGTGCAACAAACTGGGCCAGTGTCCCCATACCGGGCTTAAATGCTCTAAAACGGATTATCATTGTCAGATCCTTTATCTTAAAGTTTCCATCATTATTTGTTATCCGAATAAATGTTTTCAAATTTTTCACAGGGAAACTCGGTGACATTGTTGGCCAAGATAAGGTCTTGTTATCTTCAACGTATTGGGCGTCTCCATTAGCACAGCGACTGACATCTTTTTCCGTACCTCTAAGTGGGTACATAGCTACAGGATCATTCCAGCCCCAAACGACTTCAGCGAGAAAAATAACAAAGGAAGAAAAAGAGAAGCAGCTATAAGAGCAGATGTCTTAAGTGCAATAGACTGAACTTTCTTTTAGTGTAATAGCCACGCAGGATGTTGGGAAAACATAGGAAAATGTTATAAGGCGAGTGAGTAAGGAACTTTTTGCGTGTTCGCTTTGTGGGTTTTCACCTCTGTAAATTGATAGAATGGTAACCTAATGCTTTTATGAAACAGTTATGGGTGTACCGGTGTAATAAAGGATAGGTTTTGGGCCAATCAGGGCACTGGTAGTATCTTATGGATATTGCATAGACGCTAACAAGATAGCTTTTTGTAAGTTAGAGAAATTGTGATGATAAAGCGTAAAATGGAACTCGTATCAAAACCTTACAGTATGGTTGGTGTATTTAGCCAGGACTGTAAGGTATTAATACATCGATATTAAAAAAAGAAAAATCTTAAGGCATACTAGGCGCCTGTTGAACGCCTGGTGAATGAATCTAACTTGAATAGCGAAAGCGAAAAGCTCCAGAGATCAAAAGAAAGTTCAAGTTCAGTTTTTGTTTTGGATCTTATCGTTTATGATCAATTATGGCGATTTTACAGTGAGTTTATGCACAAAAATAGAATATTAAATTAGCATTCTACATGGAGGTACAGAATCATTCGAGATACTCATAGAAATGCACGATGAACAGGAAACATTCATACAGACTAACCTCTTGACAGGACACTCAAACAGGAGAACAAACGAAAGAATCGAGTCTGTAAATAAATTCAAAATCACAGGTCTCAAAGCAATATTTATCTATCTATATAAAAAGAGAGAAGAAAATTCAATTCAAAAGTTTTACCATCGTGTTGGTCTTGCGTTTTTAGGTTCCAGTTTGAATTTTTTTGGTGGAAAGTGAAGAGTTTTTAGTTCTTTTAACAGCTGTTAACGTTCACAAGTTACACTGTGGTTAAAAAAGTACCACACAGACGAGGCACATTGTGCGGAAAACAAATATTTATTCAGTTGATTCTTGATTCTCATTGGGAATCAGGTATTTTCAGCTGCGTTCAATTGTTGTCATCGACCATACACCGATCGACATAACACGCTTTTAGCCTCCGATGAAAAGGAGAAAGAAAAGACGATCTCCAAACAAGAAAAATCTCTTTTAAGTGAGCTAAAAAACTTAGTGTAAAAGAAACTTTTTCATCCACGTAGCTCTGTCCGAAAAAAATAAAAAACAAAAGAAAAACAAAAGAAGAAAGTATATCGTTATACATTATTATTTACTGGAATAAAAATTTCAATTATAACGGCACCTCCGAGATGTCATCCATCACTTTTCAACCTTTATAATTGATACTCAAGCTTTTCATTTTCTCACAAAATTTCAAACTGTGTTTCACAAAAAGTCAGGATTCATAATTGAAACGCTTTTGTTCCATAACCGAAGTCAAAACACGGGCGGCCCAAGCTCCAGCTGTGAGATAATCATCTTGCGAAATAGGAGTCATGGCGAAATAATAAGAGTTTGTATGGGAATATTTACGACCGCTCCTAGGAATTAAAAGATACTGTCAAATTCTCAATATTCCCATACAAATTCTTATAATTTCGCCATGACTCTTATTTCGCAAGATGATCATTTCACAGCCGAAATACAATAGAAACAGCATAGCTTAACTCAGAGACTTACATCTTCAAATGCTTAAATAAATAAAAAGAAATTAAAGCAAAGAAAAACTCTATGGGTTGGCGATGATCTCACAAACTGTAAAATGACTAAAACAATGATTTTATAGTTTTCATACATTTTGAACAATCATAAAATATTAATGTCAGATGTAATACTCCAGAAATTTTCATAGCTTTTAATGAAGTGCGTGCCCACCGGCAATTGATGAGTTGCTACCGCTCTTACATTTTGTGCCAGTTGCGCTAATAGCACGTAATGCTAAAGGTTATACGTTACAGTTAAGAAAACGGTGACCTAAAGGAGGATTCTCAAAAGGAAAGTTTGACAGGAGAAATTCATTTTCTATCCAAGTGAAATCTGTATTAAGCGGCACTGTATTAAGTGGTTACTCCGTATTAAGCAGTCGTTTTTCAAACGCAGAAAGCAGCCAGAGTACGAAAGAAGTGTAGATTCTCCCCACTTCTTGAGTGCTTTAACCGCTTCCTAGGTGCTTTACAACAGATCAGAGCACAGTCAAGGCTTCTTTATTTGTTCTGTAGTAAGGAATCCACTAAATTCCCAACGCGTTCCTTTCAATTTTCAAAACAAAATCTATTTTCAAAGCGAGCAACAGTGGCGGTCAGCGTGCTCTATACTCTGATGAACACGCTACAATAAGCCAATCAGAATACTTGTTAGAATGGTTCAAATAATCTGATTGGTTGAACAGGAAACGAAATTATGCCTATGACTATTTGTATGGCAAGCCCTTGTGTAATCAAGGCTGTTACTTTATCGCAGTGAACTAAACGTTAGAAAAAAAAAAGCCAAAAGTGGTATTGGGCAGTCGTGAATTAAAACATTTTCCCGATTTTCCGTTATTTAGAGAAAGGAGAATTATTGCAAGCCAAATTGCTCCATTTTCTTTTGGCTGTTTATTACTGAATGTAAAGAATTTCGAGCTACTTCGGTTTCTGGATTTGCTAAACAGGAAAAATATGCAATTAATCGATGTCAAGCAAAGAATTAGAAAGTTATTCTGTATCGGTGTGTTGCAAATTGACAGAAAAAATTTATTCAAAAATTCGATGGGCAGATCTATTTTGAGTTTGATGTAGTTTTCTTTCTTTTTTAACCCAAGTGACCTATTGTTGTCACAATCTCTTGACCATGTGCTGTACGAAAATAGGTCCTCTCTCTTTTGAGTAGCTGCTGTGACAGTTTTACTACAAATTTTGCGGTTTTCCTCCCAAAATGGCAACGAGAACGGAACGAGACTCCAAAAATAGGGAAAGAGCTTCGGAAGGCTCAGCGAAACAATCTTACCGATAAACAAAAAGTTGATGACCTCCTTAACAACGGAGCGCCTCCGAACTTCCGAGATTCCGATGAAACGCGGGTACTGCACATATTGTAAAGATTTTTAATAGTATCTCTTGCTTAGTATTGTCGATCTCTACTTCTTAAGTTGTATGGAACAAAAGCCTCTACTCATCTGCTGAAAACGAGACTAAAGTGGCTATTTTAAGGCGACTGGTCGACAGTTAGTTGTCAGACATGATTGTTTCAAGACAAAATCCATGTCTATGTCTAAGTCTATGTTGAGTCGATTATTAAAAGCGCCAACATCGTGTTGAACCAGTATTACTTCGACACGAAAATTAATCATTGAAATCTTGCAAAATAACCGAAATTAATAGCCTTATTGTATTCAGTTTCCTGCTCGATACTGAATTGCGAATTCGCGTCGAGTAGAGAGTATATTTGCTCAAACGAAGTAAAACTCGTATGAAGACAAGGATAGCGTAAATGTGGAGGTATAAATGAGGGTAAAATATGAAAAAATATAATGAATTAGAAACAGTTGAAAACAAAAATGACAGGTGTTCCTGGATGAAATTTAAATACAAACATGAGCACATTTATACCAAATCAACTAAATAATGAATGTTTTCTATAATTGTTGCACAATGTCTGTTATCGATAACGAAATTCTCGCGAATACAATCAACACAGAACAAAAAGCAGACTCAATAATAAATAAGTTAAAGACGTGAGAGAAAGCTGATTGATTATTCAAACTAGCCATTGAAATAAATAGAAAGGGAAGAATCAGTTTGCATATATCACTTTTAAGAATAGAGGTCTCCTACCTCAAAAATATTTCGATAACAAAAAAGAACTGAATGTACTAATCCTCAAGACTTATCTGATGCACTTCCCTTTCATACACACACTCTATCTCAGCCGAATTTTGATAATTGATGGATTAGTGAGATATTAGCGGTGACACTAGCATCGTCTTTTCATTAAAATCGTAATAAAGAAACATAAATATTACCGTCGTAGATCGTTTGCGTCTCTCAGGAGGTGGCATCACACGCACTATAACTATTACCAATGCAAAATTAAGTGTCAAATGTCGCTCATTTACAGGCATCTGAAATTATAAGTTATTTCAACGCTCTTAAAGATACCTATAGCTTCTAGGACCCTGGATGAACCATTAATCTACACGTACATACTAAATTTTTTATTGCAGCTGTTGAATGCCACTGCGGGGTGTGTTAAGGGGATACTGTTAATCATGTTGGAGTGGTGTTGCGATCTTTTACAATAAGTTCGTGGGTGATCAAATCCTACGACAAGACCATTCATCATACTTTAATACCAAACGATAAATAAGATTCACTGACTCTTAACTTTTAAACTCTCTTTAAATGGAGAATAAAACATGAGCGCGCGTTAATATATACATAAATATGAAATTTCTCTTCGAGTGTTTTACTCGATAGCTTACGAGTGAGCGCAGCGAACGAGTGAGATGTCAAGGTGAACACGAGCATAGAAAATCCATATCTACAAGCAACCATGTATTACTTTTGTTTATCATATAAACATAATAGCCCTATATTTTTTTTTCAGAGGGCACGGTAACGAATCCGCTAATCTGATTGGTTCTTTACTCGGTCAGTATTTTCCTCTCTTTGCCCACGGGCAACGGTAACGCTTTCGTGAGTCGCCGAGTACATCCCTTCATTCGTTGCCATTTTTCATAAATATATCTCCTTTTACCGGCTGGGCAGTATTTTTAAGCAAAGTCGTCGGTCACTACCTCAAGCCGATAAATAACTTATTAATCCTCTCTTTTCTCTCTTTCAAGTCACTTTGGTTGACAGAAAAATTTTTGTTTCAGAATGACTTTTTTGTACAAGCAATAGTGTCATTAGTTGGTTGACAGGTGGCCTAAAAGCCGTCTGCAATTAATCGCTCACAAAAAGTACCTAGAAAGTTAAAACGTGAGATATTTGGTTACAGTTGAACTAATCGATGGAACTTTCATGCATTTAATATCTGAATTTTCTAAAACAATTTGTTCGTGGTGAAAAGGCGAGCGAAGTTTTAATTTCAGTTCTACAACAAATATACGCTCTCGGTGAATCTTTTCAAGTCCGTTTAATTTGGACATTTGTACCGTAAATTGCACAACAGAAACTTAGGGATTCAACGAGAAAAGGCCGCATTAAATCCCCTTCTGTCTCGTTGGGGTGTATCATCCGAATTTAGTTTTTGTGTAGGAAAGACCAGATTTTCACACGCCATAGCAGCAAACAAACGAGAAAACTCTCACAACTTCGAAACAAAATATTTGAATTTACTTACAATTACTTTCCTCGCCGATTACTTAATGAACAGAGGTAAATCTTCGTACATGAATTAATCGTCGATGAGAGTGAATAATACTTTCTAATAAGTTTTTCACGGACCTCCCAGCCGGCAAATAACATATATTTATTAACGAGAAAAGTCGACTTTATTAACGACTGAAAATAAAACTTTGGACGAATCCGTATAAGAAAAGGTAAAGTGGGTTAGCGTTTAAGCCGCATTCAAACGGTCACGATAGTTGATGATAATTTCAACTTTCATTCACTATCATTCATTCATTCAGTATCATGTTTGCGCTCAAACGGTTCGTGGTAGTTGAAAAAATCAAGCAATAATATCGCGTAATTATAAACAAATATGGTGCGCGCTGAGGTCAGCAATTTCGGTGGCATTGAAAATTTTTTAGCGAAGAATTTGCCAGTTAAAGATACTGAAACCTACCAACAGATGATGAGAATGAGAACAGATGATGAGAACTTTTTACGTGTGTTGTTACGGCTTTTCTCAGGGCTTATCTCAGTACAACACCGTAGTTTGTATGATAAATAAAACTATGTTGCTTTATCAACCATATGGAAGGCAATGAGAAAAAATTTCTTTAAAGGCAGCTTCACAATAAGTCGTTTTCTATAAGAATTATCAGTCTGGAGACATCACAAGTAATATTAATCATATCTTGGCATTCACAATATTTAACTTCAGTGAAACCATAAGTTAACCTTGACAGCGAATGGTCGATGCTTGTTTCTAAACCTTTCCACTTGATTAATTGCTGGTTTAACAAAATGTTTGAAGTCCACTGAAGTTGACTGCAATTGCATTTTTTCATCAAGCTCCCCTTTAGCAAAATTATAGTATGGATCCTTTCCAAAGATTTTCCTGTGCAATGTACGAACAAATTGAAATATTTAGTGGGAAAAAAAATTTTAAATTGAGACATTCACGAACAGTTTAGAAAGTAACGTTGGTTGAAGCTATTTTGTTAACTATTAGTACACCTGCAAGACACAAGGATGAAGGATACATTTAAAGCATAAAATGATTTGTAGCTGAAAGAAATTCAGCCAATTTACTGAAGAGTAATTATAAAATTTGATCAAGCCCAAAACTCAATGATATTTTAGGCAACTACGATAATGAATACTATCCGATCCTGTGGCCTTCAAGGGAGAACGGAGCGAGTAAATAATTAACGGCGAGGAAAATGATTTTTTAATAATATGTATCTTGAGTTTCACACATAATAAAGTTTCAAATCACAGAAGCAAAATATCTGTAAAACTCGCGTCTGAAAACGCGTATAAGCATTTGAAAACGGGAAAAGTAGACTTTAAAGCGGAAGAACTCATCTTGTTATGACTTTGGGCTCTTTTAATCAACCTAACCCTAGTTCAAATTGAAACGCTTCGAGTGTTCCGAGTTGAGGTATGTTACAGGTTAGTGATAAACAGGTTGCTGAGCAAAATTCCAAATGTTGGCGCCGTTTTCGAATTTAAACACAATTGATACTAGTTTTCCAATCGCCATATATGCCATACAATGGATGGAGATTAACGTTGACGGCCTTCTAAAGCAGGAAAGTTCTCTCTAGTTAGTAGTGTAACCACTCACTTAGTTCCTATTGTTGTTAGATATTGTATTATGATCTCCCACAACAACAGTCTGTGCTTCTTTGACGTCCACATGTACGGTTGAAGCTATAAAAAATAATAAGAAAAAAACATTAACCAATAAATAGAATGCTTAAACATTGCATGGCATCACAGTGGCGGTTTCTTTGTCTTAAGGTGAGCGTCTTCATTCTTGGACCACGTTAAAAGGTGCTAACTATGTCGTTTGTGAGTGTTTATTATTGATAAAAAGAAAGATCCAATCAAGTTAAGTGAAGTAAACCCGTTCTCAAGTATTCAAATAAGATGACGGAGTCCCATAATTCAACTGAAACTAACCTGGTGGCACGTTGATTGTTAAGCTGGATGGGCCATCAACAAGAAGATGATCAGCAACTTGGTCATTTTTCAAATAACTTGCAACTTTTCTGAGTTCTCTTATCTTAGAGGTTTCACTTTTCGTAAGCATTGCGCCAGCGTCCTCAGGTTGTTCTTCTCTCAATCTCCTTTCAACAATATCGAGTACTGTTTCCTTCCCCTTAAGGAACGAGGGCCCAATCAGGAAGAGGCAAAAAGGCATGGTCAGAAATTGAAACATCTAAATCGTCCAGGGGAATGAGCTTATCCCAGATTTTTTAGCATGGTTTCACAAAACGTCTGCTAGTACTTATTTATACGAGATCGAAACCTGCATTGCTACCACAGTTTACGAAGACTAAGGAACCTGTCGTCTTTATTTATCACCGCGGGGAAGTCACCGATTTTGGTTGTGTCGTGTGCGTAATAAAATTTACCTGAACCCCCAGTCTCTCTCAACCTCTTCCCCAGTTAGCAGTCAATTTTCTTCGGTTCCCCCTCCCCCCCTCCCTTGCTGGCGATAAAAAAATGTCTGGTCCCTTATTTGTTTATCCCATAATGCCCCTGTGCCGGTATAAAAGAAGCAAGTTACACTAATTTAGGATCATCACAAATTACATTTTTGGGGTTTTACGAATGTATTTATGCTTATTAGCTTCCTACAAGCGAAAAACAAGATATTTTAGGCAGCACTGAATTGGTCTGATTTTTTCCATTGAATTGTGTATAACTATGGATTTTGTAAAACTTTGGAAGAAATCCCTGGTCACTCTTATAAATGTTATCAAAATACGCATTAAGCTAACGCATTACAATATCCTTACATGGCTTGTCTTGGTGCGGTCAGCTGGACTATGCGGATTGTTTAAAAATTTCTCCACAGCCTCCGAGTATCCTTTTTCAACTGCCAAGTGAAGGGGCGTATGACCATGCTAAGATGTTAAGAAAAAAATACATTTGTTGGTCTGAGGTAACATAGGATAAGCGACGAAGAAGATATGATGAAGCTAGACAGGAGAGAGACAAGCAAGTATGATACATGTACATCTGCCAACTCAAGTATATGCCTTCGAACTTAGTGAAAACACCGATCTCACGCGCCAGCTCACGCCTGTCCAACAATTTTTTACGCCTGGCCTATCACAGCCTTGACTGACTCAAACTATACGAACAAAAATTATAATAATGTACTTTGAAATAGACTAGAGTCAGAGGACCAAAGTCCGTGCAATTGCCCGTAAATACAAGTCTCTGGATGTGATCGAGTTCTCTACGCAAACGCTCGCGCTTTGAGGACAGAATTTTCACGGCTCTGATTCAAAAGTGGTCTATTAAAGGCAGAATGATTAGGGAAAAATGCAAGGGAGAGGAGAGAAAGATACAAGATAGGGTGTGGGGACGATAGAATGGAAAAAGTTTAGTAAAACCCAAACTGCCGTTTTTGGTGCCATGGTGAAGCTCGAGAGTGAGTTTACATTTCAAAGAAATGAGAGATGGTCAAGTAGTGCTGGAAGGGATAAAAGAGACTGGAAAGAAGGAAGAGAGGAAGGAAGGATTGAAGTAATTAGTCAAACTTATGGTGGATCACTATGAAGTAAGGAAAATTTAAAGGAAAGAAGATAATTATGGGCAATACGGCAGGAAATAAGAGGCAGCCTGAGAAGGATAGATGAAAAATGATTTACAGAAACGATAGAACTTAGAAGGAGTGTTGAGGACTGATAATGCTTCGAAAATAATGCTTAGAAAATATCAGTAACACACAGAATCATCCAGGTTGGTTTCAGCTCCATGTTCTAACAGCATGTTGGTAAGTTCCATATCACCCTCTCTTTCCATTACAACAAGATGAAGGGGAGTCCAGTTTGTCTGCAAATTTTTACAGAAAAGAAAAATTGAACATTATCCTTCCTTCACCATAATCACTAAGGCCATTTAACCCTTTAATTTAAC